TATAATACATCATGAGCAATTGAGATTCATATTAGGTATGCAAGGATAGTTCATTATCAGGAAAAAAACGACATAATCCACAACAAAAATAAAACAAAGGAAAATGACAATATCAATTGGTGCAGAAAAGGCATCTGACAAAAGCCAACACCCCTTCTTTATTAAAAACACTCAGCAAAATAGGAATAGAAGAGCAGTTCTTTAGCATTATTCAGGACATATACACAATATCCACAGCTAACATTATTCTCAGCAGAGAAAGACCAAAAACACTGTAAATGGGAATCAAACAAGGATGCCTTGTGGTACGCTGGGTTAATGCGCTGGACTGAAAAATCAGTTTGAACCTCAAGGTCAGCAATTCAAGCTCACCAGCTGCTCCTCAGAAATCCTATACAGGATCGCTATAGGTTGTAACCAACTCAACATCACTTAACAAGAATATGTATAGAAAATCCTAGAGCTTTAACAAGAAACTAATAAAAATGGTGAGACCTTGTCTCATGTACTTTGTACATGCTGCCAGGAGGGGCCAGTCCCTTGGAAAAGACTGATTACTCTGGTTGGGAATGTAAAGGGTCAGCAAAAAATAGGAAGAGCCCTAGCAGGATGGACTGACACAGTGGCTGCAACAATGAGTTCACACATAACAATTGTAAGGCTGGTGCCGGACCAGGCAGTGTTTCATTGTGTTGTACATAGGGTCACTATGAGTCAGAACAGCACCTAACAACAACCATCTTTCAAAAAGTTCATGGAAAAAGTCCATCATCTTTCCATTCCATTTTTCATGCACTTTTGAAGCCCCCACATGTGTGTCTCTGTGTGTATAATCTTTTCTTCTTCACTGGTTCTTGAGTCTGTGTTCATTGGCTCTTTCCGGCCAAAAGGTTATTGGGAGAAAGTATCCAGAGGGCTAGAAAATGCAGAGAAACATGCTCTTACTAAGAGGAAAAGTCTGTGGGGTTCTCATGAGGGCAGTTTACCTTGTTTTGTGGTTGCTGGTCTTGCCTAGTAAACCTTAAGTAGAAGTTAGCCCTCCATTTCCCCAGGTGTCTCAGGGGCTGATCTGTCCTAAGATAAGATGTTTGCCTTCTCTGGAATTCCTCCTGTTACAAGGATTCTATGATGCTATCAATTAGCCAGAACATTCTAATCAGACTAGTTGCCTAGATACACATACAAAAAAGGATTTTTGTGTGTGTGTGTGAGAGAGAGACCAGAACTAGGAAGGAAATAGGCCTGGGGACATCTTCTAATCTGTCAAACACATGTTGATAGACTAGGTTATGGGAGAACTTGGTGGCATGGCCTATTTTGTCTAGGAAGGATGACAAAGGGAGAGACTCTGAACTGAATCAGGGAAAGACAGTTTAGGAGCTGTGAGTTCTTATTATGGAATTGGGAAACTGAGGAAAAATAATAGAACAATAAGATTTATCAAAACCTGATAAGGTGAAACAGTTCTCCAAAGAGGTATAACCTTAAAATACAGAAAGAATTTCAAAATAAATCCACACATTTCCCTGGAGAAGTACAACCTTAAGATACAAAGATTTAATTTTAGTAAATCTAGGACCTGCTCACAGTAGTAACTCTATACTTGGTTAGAGTTGAATGTATGAGAAGGTAGTTCTCAGGAAACTATCAGCTCCCTCATTTGTCCTCAACTCTGGCTAGCCTATCTCTCACCTCTTAGCCTCAGCCACCTCCCTTCTGTCTGTCTGAACATCCTGCTTTTCAGTCAAGGGTGAAGGTTAACATTGGGAATCACAGTCTAATGAAGAAGCAAGCAGTTCTTTGTAGAGTTGAGTGGTATATAATTAAAATTTCAAGGAAAATCAATCTGAGTGGCCTGCAATGTTACTTTTTTCAGTATGATTCCCACGAGTATGTTGTTGTTATTTGCTGTCAAGTGTTCGGACTCATAGTGACCCTGTGTAGGGTTTCCGAGGAATGACTGGTGAGTTTGAACCACCAACCTTGCAGTTCAAACCGACCTTATGGTCGAATGCTTATTCTTACAGCACTACACCAGGACTCTCCCATGAATATAAGCACCACTTTTTCCAAGGAAAATTTCTTGGAGTGTTTTCTTTTTTAACCTTGCCTCCATCCAATAAGTATTTCATGAAAAGGGTGTAGTGCTGTTTCTGGGGGAATACAAAAATGTGTCTGACAAAAACTTTCCAATCTGCTAGACCAGATAAGAAACTCAAACAGATAACTGTATGGCAAGATAAAAAGCCATGGCAGATTCAAACAAAGAGTTGGAAGTATCAAGAAAGAGACAGGGAGAGAACAAACAAGATGGTGGATCAGGTAGAAGTGCAGTAAGGAGCTCCATCAACAACAACACAGAATACAGGACCAAGCAGGCTCAGGGGATGGTGCCAGAACTCTGAACCATATGTAAGGGAATATTTAGAAGGTTGGAAGGCTTACAGGGGAATTTGTAGCAGAACCAAGAAATCCATTGTTTTCTAATCCAAAAGGCTCAGCTGCTCCCAGAGCTGCCATCTTGGGCAAGACCAAATGGGAGAAGGATCAGAGCAGCCATTGACGCCTGACAGAATCATGGATATAAAAGTGTAGACACTTTTTTTTTAATCTGTTCATTGGTTTCTCGCTGTCTGCACACCTCCATTCTAGTGACTAGTGAGTGAGTGGAAGAGGGGTAAAGGCAGCAATGAAGAAATGGGCTGAGTTCAACCACAGTCCATTGACCCCCATTGACCTGGAGATGAGAGAGAGAAGCTGGCTGGTTGGTCCAAAGTGTAGTGAGACCTGAGGACACTTGAGCCCATGGACAACAACATAGCCACAGAGGGCTAGAATTGAGAGCTGATGTGAAGTGAGGGGAGATGCACCAAGAACACCCAAACTTGCAGATAGTACCCCATTTGACCTCGATGGCTTGATAATCAGAACTCGACTAGAGAAAGAATACACACACACACACACAATTTTTTTTTCTTTGATAAAGGAAACAAGGGTAAATTGCTACAATTTGATGAACCTGACCTATACTCTTGGAGGTAGTAACTCTAAATACCAACAGAGAGGGAAGGAGTCTTCACATCAAGTATCAATGCTATCTATCCCCTCTGTACACAGGGTAGATAGGGACGGGCAACGTAGACATTGGCTACCTAAAATGAGGGGGGCAATAAAGGCATAAAGTGACTGGCTTACAAGGTTTCAAGAGGGAGTTTAGCTTAAGAGTGTGTGGCGGGAAGAAAGAGTCCCCACTGAATAGATTTCATCTTTGGGTCTGGGGATAAGAGTCGTATGATTCAATAGAGAATAACTGTTATCATGACTAATCGCGACTGTCACAATTGTAAAGGTAGAAATTTTTTATCAAAAACAAGGGAGTGGTTAATCTTACAGTCCAGAAACAGATGACCCTAGGAGCATCAAGGGAGAAGCACATAAGCAGAATGCAGGACCTTATCCAGAGAAGCAGCAACGCCAGAGACAGAGGCAGAGATGGGGTCATGGAGAGGGAGAGCGGCTGAGGACTGTAGATTTATGGGAAGAGAGGGACTAAGGGCTGGTGGCCAGAAGGCAGACTTGAAGAATGTGCCCTTTGGAGGTATAAATTATTATATATGCCTGAGTGGTTTTGCTTTGTTTAAAGAAAGCTAAAGTGGACAGAGAGAAATACTGTTAACTGATGGTACATATAGGGGATTATAATCATTGTAATGAAACAAGGTGTATGATTTGTTGACTGTAAAACTGATGGTCTGCTCTGTAAACTTTTACTCAATCCACAACAAAAAACTTAAAAAAAGAGAGAGAGACAGACCGGACTTCCATTGGAGAAATGATCAGGGAAAGTCAGTTCTACATAGTTATAAAGCCGGGGTGCAGAATGTTCAGCCTGTGGGCCATAAAAGGCCCACAAAATCATTTGGTCGCCCCTGCCAAGGCAACTGCAGTTCCAGCCATCATGTTGTTGTTGTTAAGTGCTGTCATGTTGGCTATGACTCATAACGACCCTATGTAGGGTTTCTGAGGAGTGGCTGGTGAGTTTGTACTGCCAACCTTGCAGCTGAAACTAACCTTGCAGACCAACGCATTAATCCACAGCACCACACCATACCACACTAATTAAATGTTTGACCCAATAGAGCAGACTAATTTTAAAGTTGATAATTTTATATGGCCTGCAAATGATGTTATAAATTTGGGCAGAAAAAGGGTTCCTCATGTCTGTTCTAAAGGGTAGAATGACCACCAACGGGATGTGTGGAAGAGGTTGCATTCCTGGGAGTAGAAGTCAGCTTGGAGGCCAAAAAAACTGCCTGTCAACTCGTGATTCAGAAGCTAGAGCTGTAAAAGCAAGTGCTAAGTCCCTAGTCACTGTAAATATTCATTCAAGGAAACCTAGGATAATCTGTTAAAGATACTGTAGAAGAAATCTCTGATATCCCACTCCCTTTGGTGGGAAGTTTGGACTAGATAGATACTCTCAGCTCCTCCTCACTCTGTTTCTCAGTTTACCAGCAGAGCATGATGCTACCAAGTGAGCCTCCCAGATAAAATATCCATACCTCAATCAAAGTTTGTTGGGAAATAAAATCTTTTGCATTCATGTATTGGAGTTCATACACTTAACAATCCTTAAAACAACTATCAACAGCAGTAGCAAAAACCATGTGCAAAAAGAAAAAAAGATGCTGTAGACATCCCACCCAGCACACGAATTTATTGAGGAAAGGAATCCTAGAAGGTTGCTGGAACACACTTAAGCATGAGAAGTTTCCTACACGGGCTTCCCCACAATCAATTACTCTGCATCACAGGGCTGAACACTCCAAAGTCTTGATTCTTTCTTCACCTTTGAAGTCAACATGACAAGTCAAGGACAAGGTAGACTGGATATCCAATTTATTAATGGCGAGCTGTCATTTGATGCACCAATAGCAAGATGCTAAGAGTCCCAGAGGACCTAGAGCTCTCCCGTGTAAAGTCTGTCAGGTGGTTCCCCCGAACAATTCATCAGTCACAGGAAAGGGTGGTCAAGGTCCAAGGTACATCACACCCAGCCCTGAAGTGTCCCTAGTTCTCCTTCTGTGACTGCTGTAACCGCTTGGCCACAGCAGTGATCAGAGCTGCTCCCTTCCCACTGCCATCTTCTGACAGCATGAATGTCACGTTGCATTGAGGGGCGAGCTCTTTCACAGTCTCCTGCAATACCCGAGAAAAACTATAAAAAAGAGAAAGAAACATCATTAGCACTTATATATGGGATTGGCATATTTATCAACAACTCCAATCTACGTACCTTGACTTATTAGCAGCAAGGTCCAGTTCCTGGAGGACATCATGGTAGGCAAAATGAAGGGTCAGTGAAAAAGAGGAAGACCCCCAATGAAATGGATTGGCAGCAGCAATGGGCTCAAGCTTAATAACGATTGTGAGGATGGCTCAGGATGGGCCAGTGTTTCATCTTGTGCATAAGGTTGCAATGAATTGGTACCGACTTGATGGCGCCTAACAACACATCCCTTGAATTGTACTTCTATTGTACCTTCCTTTTCTGAGTTGTTCCTTCATTAGTGTACACTCACTGCAATTAGAGATGCTATTGTAAATTTGACCCCATATAGATAATTGTTAAAAGAGTCTTAATAATGCTCAAGGGAGACATTTTTTACTAGTAGAGGTAAACTACTGTTTGGTTTCCTGATGCATGGAACTGTAGGATAGACACAGGACTGCTAATGACAAGGTTTTGTGTTCAAACTCACCAGCCACTCCTTAGAAACACTATATAGGGTCACTATGAGTAGAAATCGATTCAATGGAACTTAACAACAACAGCAACAACAGTGTTTGGTTTTAAGAAAATCAGGAAATACCTTTGGGTTAAAGATTATCTTAGGGCAATATTTTCAGGGATTCACCCAACCTCCATGACTCCAAGAAGTCTGGAGTTCATGAGAATTTCTACATTTCTGCATTTCCCTCCTTTTCATCAGGATTCTTCCATGGAGTTTTTGACTAAAATGTCCAGTAATGGTTGTTAGGCACTATCCAGTTTTACTGGTCTCCTGGCAAAGGAGGCAATTAGCTACATAGTCCATATCCTCATCCTATTCCAGACATTCCTTCTTCCTCTGTTGTTCCAGGCAAGAAGAGAACTGTTGTGCCTTGGACGGCTGCTCCCAAGCTTTAAAGACCCTGGGCATATGCAGCGAACTAGGAGGGATGAAAACAAACAAAAAAACACTAAATATGTGATTAGGCCAATTAACTGGGATGACCCACGAAACCATGATTGGGTCTCTTCCATTTCTATATTTTAGAAACAGTTTATCAATTTCTGCAAAGAAGCCAACTTGGATTTTGATAAGAATTGTGCTGAACTTGTAGACCACTTTGGAGAGTATATCTACTCTTCACTTACAGACACAGTTAAGTTCCAAATCCCAGGATGATATGCAAAAATTGACATTATATGAAAATGGAGGATGATCACACCAGATCACAAATGGAGGATGACTATATCATCACGTAACTGCCAAGCTGACACATAAGTTTGACCATCAGAGCCAGCGTTACTCAGGCCTCATGCTACAGTGTCTGTTACTGCCAGATGTACATCATTAATGCACAAAACAGTCCATTAGGAGATTTTTTTTACTATTGGTGTAGATGTTAAATGTCAGATAAAATGATTGGAAAGTGAAGAGTGGTGTATTACCATTGTCTTAGTTAACTAACTATAACTTAGTTAACTGATATAACAGACTATAACTATAACTTAGTTAACTGCTATAACAGAAACAAGCAATGGCTTCAACAAACAATTTTATATCTCACAATTTGAAAGGCTAAAAGTTCAAATTCTGAGCACTGGCTTGAGGGAATATCTTTTCCTTTTTGTCAACTCTGGAAGAAAGTCCTGTCTTTTCCTGATGCCTTGGAGATCTCCCTCCTGCTAACTTGTTTATTCTCTTTTATATCTTAAAAGGGATGGATCAAAATACACCCTACACTAATCCTGCTTGATTAACATAACAAAGACAACCCATTCCTAAATAGGATTATAAGTACAGACATGAGTTAGGATTTACAACACATATTTTGGAGGGCACATAATTCAATTTGTAATGTTCTACCCTATGCTGCCTCCAAGTTCATGTCCTTGCCACATGCAAAACACAATCACCCCAACACATTATTCTTAAAAGTCTTAAATTAATACCAACTCCAAAATCTCTTCTGAATCACGTAAATCATGTATGGGTGAGATTTTAGACATATTCCATTCTGAAGCAAAATTCCTCTTCATCTGTGAACCTGTGACATCTACATGGCAAGTTATCCATTTCCAAACTACAGTGGTGGGACATGTACAGAACAGACATTTCCATTACAAGGGGGAGAAATCAGAGGGAAAGAGGGATAGCAGACACCAAGCAAGTCCAAAATCCAGCAGAACAATTGACATTAGCTCTCAAGGTTTGAAAATAATCCTGTTTTCTGAGACCATCTGGGCAATGGCCCCACCCACTAGCCTCTGGGTATTAGCCACACCCTCTGGATTCTGGGCGGAGGAGGCCCTTTGGTGCTAGGCTTCAATTCCACCTTCCAGGATCACTGGGATAGCACCTTTGCCCCTTCTGCTTTGTGTGACCCTATTCTAATTCATAAGGAGCTCTGGTAGCGTAGTGGTTACGAATCGGGCTGTGAACCTTAAGGTCAGCGGTTCGAAACTACCAGCCGCTCCACGGGAGAAAGATGAGGTTTCTACTCCCGTAAAGATTTACACCCTCGGAAACTCTGTACAGGGTTGCTATGGGTCAGAACCGACTCGATGGCACTTAACAGCAGCAGCAGCAGCATTCTAATCCATATTAATGGAGATCCCATCTAGAAGGCTGTGGCTTTTCTCTCTAGATCTAGGATACCATGGCACCACCCTTTAAAACTGAGAAGGCTTTGCTTCCTAGGCATCTTTTGACAGTTTTGCTCCAGGGATGTTCCTTTTCTTTTCCTGCTTTTAGAATTCCAAGAGTCAGACAACATTCTTTCCTTTAGTTTTTTTTTTCTTTGTTCCCTTCAGTCTAAGTTTATAGGTTTTCTGCAGTTTCAGTTTACAGGTAATTGGTTTGATCCATCAGTTACTTAAACAGGATGTTGTGTAGCCATGTCCCTGGTAAACATTTTAGGACACATGTCGTTAGTTTGTACAACAGAATTTTCTAAATCTTTAAATTCTGTTTTCATTTTACACTTTCAGTTTTAAGTTCATCTTTTTCCTCTCGCATTTTACTATAAGCAGTAGGATCATGCTTAGAAATCTCATCAGCTAGATATTCAATTTCATCACTTACAAGTTCTACCTTCTACCAAATATTTGAGCATAATTTAAACAAGTTCTTTGCCACTGCATAATAAGTCTCATCATTCCTCCAGTGTCCAATCAATTGCTCATCATTTTCTTCTAAGTCCCACCAGAAGCACATTTAATGTCCACATTTCTAGCAACATTCAATTTCTGGTGTCATATGTATGAGAAAGAAAATTATAACCAGCTGACAGTTAACAAATGCTCTGTGCTATGCAAAATACTCAGTTTTCATTACAAACCTGTGAGGTCAGATGAAAATACTAGTAGTAATTGCTTGCATTTCTTGAGTACTGTGTGAAACACTTTACATAGGCTTCAGTTACTCTACATGTAACCCTATGAAGTAGAGATTATTACTGCCTCTCTTTTATAGGTCAGGGTTCAGAGAGGCTGGTCAGTATTCACGCATTGTACCACTAGGAAGTAGAAATGCCAAGACTTTTGGTCTGACATGTCTGTCAGACTCAACAGCCTGACTTCACCACCACACGACACTCCCTCCCCATGGAGGGAGTTTGTCAGTTGAGATTGTTTAGAGCCCACACCTCTCCCCAGACACTCACTGAGGGTGCAGCTTATACAACGTGCCATCTACGCCCACCGTGATCTTCAGGGACTCAAGCCCTTGGTCTTCCCTCCTTTTCTCCACGATGGCAGCCAGGCCAGCACCACAGAGCTGGGCTGCCCGCCGGGACACAGCTCCGCACACCTCCTTCACCACGATGCTGTCCTCGCATGTGCTATCCAGGCCGAGCTGCTGCAAGATGCCCCGGACCTGGAGAAGGGCTAGCCGGTCACTGCAAGGGGCAGAACACACTGTCAGGATCTATTTCTCAGGCCCACGGATCCTCCTCAACATGACGCCTGGCCTCCCTATCCCTAGATGCCCAAACAGAAAGGAGGAGAAAATGGCTCAGGCCACAGCTAAGGAGGGACAGAAGACTTAGCAGTTGAAACTCAAGAAGGTCCACCACTCCCAGGAAGTATCCCCATCTTTAAAAACTAAAGTATGAGTACCCCAAATTTACAGCAATCATCTCACAAGGAGCTATTATCTACCAGAATCAGCAAACATTGTACCAGGCACCCATTCTTCTAAAGCAGAACCTAAGGTTCAGAGAGGAAGACACTTGTCCCCAAACAGCAGCAGAGCAGGGTTTAACATAGTCACCTCATACCACATCTAGCCCTCTTCTGTTTGAGTTCCTGGCACTCTGATCCCATTCTATTAAAGCCTATTTTTCCTTTTATTGAACTGCTTCTGATTTTCTGCTTTCCCTTTCCAACTAGACTCTATGCTCTTTGTGGGCAGGAAGAACAGATAGTCTAGTTGTTGGTACTAGCCAGCAATGGGTTAGGCACATCCATGAGCAAGCGGATATATAAATATACAAGATGAAATCACCACCTTCAAGAATGGGAGCCAGTTTTTTGACTAGAAACACCTGAAGAGAAGTATGTATCCATCATCCATCATGGAGACACACTGGTTTCAAGTGTATTGCTGTTGCTGGTAACTGCTGTCAAGTTGATGGTACCATGCACAGAAGAATGAAACAGCAAAACCATCTCTGATCAGATGCAGATTCAACTGTTGTGGTCCATGGGATTTTCAATGGCTGAGTTTTGGAAGTTGGTCATCACATCTTTTTTCCCAGCCCATCTTGGGGTAGAAGATCCACTGACGTCATGATAACATAGACACTTCCACTGACAGCTGGGTGGTGGCTACGCTTAAGCTGCACTGGTCAGAATTTGAACTTCGGTCTCCTCCTTTGTTGTTGTTGTTGTTAGGTGCCATCAAGTCGGTACCAACTCATAGCAACCTTATGCACAGCAGAACAAAACACTGCCTGATCCTGGGCCAACATCACCACTGTTGCCACGCTGAGTCCATCGAAGCTGCCACTTTGCCAATCCATCTTGTTGGGGGTCTTCCTCTTTTTCTTTGACCCTCCACCTTACCAAACATGATATCCTTCTCCAGCGACTGGTCCCTCCTGACAATATGTCTGAAGTATGAGAGATGAAGTTTGGCACTTCTTTCAACACAGATCTGTTCGTTCTTTTGGCAACCCATAGTACTTTCAATATTCTCCTCCAACACCATAATTCAAAAGCATCAATTCTTCTATGGTCTTCATTATTCACTGTCCAGCTTTCGCATGCATATGAGATTATTGAAAATACCATGGCTTGGGTCAGGCGCACCTTAGTCCTCAAGCTGACATCTCTGCTCTTCAACACTTTAAAAAGTTCCTGTGCAGCAGATTTGCCCAATGCAATACGTCGTTTGATTTCTTGACTGCTGCTTCTGTGAGTGTTGATAGTTGATCCAAGAAGAATGAAGTCCTTGACAACTTCAATCTTTTCTCCATTGATAAGAATGTTGTTTATTGAGGATTTTTGTTTTCTTTACATTGAGATGTAGTCCATACCAATCCTCCCTGGGTGGCAAGAATTCAACCACTGATGTACTACTGTTCCCTGACCTTGAGTCTAGGCTGCTGTTGTTAAGTGCCATCGAGTCAGTTCCAACTCATAGCAACCCTGTATCGGGTTTCCGAAAAGCAGCTAGTAGGTTTGAACCACTGACCTTGTGGTTCACAGCCCAGCACTGATCCTATAGTGCCATACCTGGAGTCTACTTTCACTATTGTTGTTGTTGTTGTTAAGTGCCAACAAGTCGGTTCTGACCCATAGAGACCATGTATAGTGTTTCCGAGGAGCAGCTGGTGAGTCTGAACAGCTGACCTTGCAGTCAAACAACTTTGCAGTCCAGTGCATTAACCCACAGCACCACACCAGGACTCCACTTTCACTATAAAGGAATTCATACAATCAATCCAGTCTAGTCCCTGTGAATCTCAGAATGAACAAATGGTACTAAAACAGAACTCTGGCTCCCAAACTAAACAATGTGAAGTCATATCCTGGATTGTCTCTGGCAATACTTAGGAACGAAAAGTGTTACCAAAAGAGAGCAGCTGAGAAACAGCCTATATGTCCATATGGGTACAAAGCAGATAAACAGAAGCACAGCCAGATAGTAGAATTTTTTGTACACACTGAAGATGACCTTGCAGAAGACTATTTAATACCATGGCAAACAATCATGACATATTAAGTTTAAAAAAAGAAAAAATTACAACATGTTAAGTGGCATATGGTCTTGTTTTCTTAAAATGTTTGTCCTTGCATAGATAAAAAGAGCAGAAAGCAATCTATTCAGATATTGGTGAGATTAGTGACTTTGATTCCTTTTGCTTCTGTGTATGTTTTAGGCTTTCAAAAAGTAATGAGCAACAGTCTTTCTCTTACACTCTCTCTTAGGATGTTTGTTTTTACTGTTAAGTGCCATTGAGTTGGTTCTGGTCCATAGCAACCCTGTTTAAGGTTTCCAAGGAGCAACTGGTGAAATTGAACCACTGACCTTGCAGTTCAAACGGACTTTGCAGTTCAGAGCATTAACCCACAGTGCCACACCAGGACTCCACGATAGGACCAACTAGGGAATGCAAAGTGGTGATAATCTAATTCTATTATGTCTTCTGCATTTGTTATCTGGAAAAGTTCTAGGAAAAGAAACTATACTTTGTGCATAAAAGTTCCTTCAGTGGGTTCACTGATAAACTGTGGTACATCCATGGAAGGAGAGGGGAGGGAAGAATGGGTGAGACACAGGGCAGTTAAATGGCAGTGAAACTATGCTCCATTATACAGCAACAGTGGATACACATCAGGCATGAGATGCAAACCCATAGGGCTGTACAACACAAAGAATGAGTCTAATGTAAACTATGGTCTTTGGTTTTGTTAAGTGCCAACGAGTCAACTCCCACTGACAGTGACCTTACGCACAACGGAACATAACACTGCGCCATTCTCACAACTGCTGTTACATTTTAATCCCATTGTTGTTGCCACTCTGTCAATCCATCTCGCTGGGGGTCTTCCTCTTTTTCACTGACCCTCCACTTTACCTAGCATGATGCCCTTCTCCAAGGATAGGTCCTACCTGACAACATGTCCAAAGTATGAGAGATGAAATCTCCCCATTCTCGCTTCAAAGGAGCATTCTGGCTGTACAAAGGAGCATAAAAGAAAAATTTGTTTGTTCTTTTGTAAGTCTGTGGTATTTTCAATATTCTTTGTCGACCATAATTCAAAAGCATCATTAGCCAACTTTCACATGCATATGAGGTAATCAAAAATATGATGGCTTGGTTCAGACCCACCTAAGTCCTCAAACTGACATCTTTGCTCTTGAACACTTACTTTAAAGAGGTCTTGTGCAGCAGATTTGCCTAATGCAAATACATCTTTTGATTTCTTGACTGCTGCTTCCATGAGTGCTGATTGTGGATCCAAGCAAAAGAAAGTCTTTGAGAACTTTAATATTTTCTCATTTATCACGATGTTATTTATTCGTCCAGGTGTGAACATTTTGTTTTTAATATATTGAGGTGCAATCCATACTGAAGGTTGTAGTCTTGGATCTTCATCAGTAAGTATTTTCACTTACTGATTTTCACTGTTCACTTCCAGCAACCAGGGTTCTATCAAGTATATATCGCATGCAAGCTGTTAAGAAGTTTTCCTTTAATCCCGGTGCCACCTTACTCTTCATATAATTCAGGTTCACAGATTATTTGCTCAGCATACTGACTGAATAAGTATGGTGAAAGGATGCAACCCTGGTGCACACTTTTCCTGATTTTGAGCCATTCAGTATTCCCTTGTTCTGTTTGAATGACTGCCTCTTGGAGTATGCACAAGTTCCTCATGAGCACAATTAAGTGTTGTGGAATTTCCATGCTTCGCAATGTTTTCCATAGCTTGTTATGGTCCATGTAGTCAAATGCTTTTGCATAGCCAGTAAAGAACAAATAAACATCTTTCTACTGTTCTGTTTTTCAGCCAAGATCCATTTGATGTCAGTAATGACATCGCTCATTCTAATTTCTTGCAATAGATGAGTGAATGCCTCCAGTGCCATATCAGTTTGTTGAAGGATTTCAATTTGTATTCCATGAATTCCCAGAGCCTTGTTCTTTGCCAGTGCCTTCAGGGAGCCTTGGTCTTCTTCCTTCAGTATCATTGGCTCTTGATGATCTGCTACATCTTGAAATGGTGGAACATTGACCATTTCTTTTGGTCCAGTAACTCTGCCTACTTTTTTCATCTTCTTTTGATACTTTCCGCATCATTCAAAGTTTTTCCCAGAGAATTCTTCAATATTGCAATCTGAGGAATGAATTTTTTCTTCAGTTTCCTCAGCTTGAGAAATGCTGAGCATGTTCTTCCCTTTGGGTTTTCTAACTCCAGATGTTTGCACATTTCATTATAATATTTGACTTTGTCTTCTAGAGCTGACCTTTGAAATTTTCTACTCACCTCTTTTACCTCCATTTGCTTTAGCATCTCTACACTGGAGAGCAAGTTTCAGAGTCTCTTCTGACATCCATTTTGGTCTTTTCCTTCTCTCTTGTCTTCTTAATGACCTTTTGCTTTCTTCTTGTAGGATGTTTTTGATGTTATCCCACAACTCTTCGGGTCTTTGGTCTTCAGTGTCTAACGCATCAAATCTGTTCTTTAGATCTCTAAATTCAGGTGGGATATATTCAAGGTCATATTTTGGCTCTCATGGACTTGTTTTCATGCTCTTCAGCTTCAGCCTGAATTTGCATATGAGCAATTGATGATCTGTTCCACAATCTTCCCCGGCCTAGTTTTGGCTGATGATATGGAGATTTACCACTATCTCTTTCCACAGATGTAGTCAATTTGATTTCCGTGTATTCCATCTGGTAAGGTCCATGTGTATAGTCATCTTTCATGTTGTTTAAAAAAAATTGAGGGTCTTGCAAAAATCTATAATGTGATACCCAGCATTGTTTCTATCACTAAGGCTGCATTTTCCAAGAATTGATCCTTCCTCTTTATTCCATTCTTTGCATTCCAATCACCAGTAATTATCAATATATCTTGATTGCTTGTATGGTTAATTTCAGACTTTAGAAGTTACTAGAATTCTTCAATTTCATCACTGGTTTTAGTGGTTGGTGTATAAATGTGAATAGTGGTATTCACTGGTCTTCCTTGTAGGTATATGGATACTATCCTATCACAGATAGCATTGTACTTCAAGATAGATCATGAAATGTCCTTTTTTTGTTTTTTAAGGTTTTTATTGTGGACTGAGTGAAAGTTTACAGGGCAGATCATCAGTTTTACATTCAACAAATTATACACCTTGTTTCATTACAATGATTATGATCCCCTCCATGTATGATCAGTCAACAGTATTTCTCTCCACTAGCTTTAAAAAAAAAAACCACTCAGGCATATATAATAATTTACACCTGCAAAGGGCACATTCTGCAAGTCTGCCTCCTAGCCACCAGCTCTTAGTCCCTCTCTTCCCATGAATCTAGAGTCCTCAGCCACTGCCCCTCTCCATGACCCATCTCTACCTCTGTCTCTGGCGTCGCTGCTTCTCTGGATGTTGTTGTTAAGTGCCGTCGAGTCAGTTCTAACCCATAGCAACCCTGCACAGGGTTTCCGAGGCTGTAAATCTTTACGGGAGCAGAAAGCCTCATCTTTCTCCCACGGAGTGGCTGGTAGTTTCAAACTGCTGACCTTGCGGTTCACAGCCTGATTCGTAACCACTAGGCTACCAGAGCTGCTTCTCTGGATAAGGTCCTACATTCTGCCTGTGCATTTCCCTCTTGATGGTCCTAGGGTCCTCTGTTTCTGGACTGTAAGATTAACCACTCCCCTGTTTTTCTTAGAAAACTTCTACCTTTACAATTGTGACAGTCTCAATTAGTCATGATAACAATTATTCACTATTGAATCTTACGAATCTTATCCCCATCTCTTTCACCAGATCCATCTAGACAAGATGACAGCTATTCAGTGGGGACTCTTTCTTTCCCCCCATACTCTTAAACTCCCTCTTGAAACCTTGTAAGCCAGTCACTTTGTGCCTTTATCGCCCCCTCATTTTAGGTAGCCGATGTCTAAGTTGTCCATCCCTATCTACCTGGTGTACAGAGGGGATTGAAGTGATACTTGATGTAAAGACTCTTTCCCTCTCTGTAGGTATTTAGAGTAACTATCGCTCTGAGTATGGGTCAGGTTCATCAAATTATAGCAATTTACCCTTGTTTCCTTTATACATTTTTTTTTTTTTGGTAATCTTCCTCAAGTCGAGTACTTATTATTGAGCCATTGAGGCTAGGTCAGATGGGTACTGTCTGCAAGTTTGGGTGTTCTTATGCATCTCCCCTCACTTCATATCAATCAGCTGGATGATTCACTCTCAGCTCTAGCCCTCTGTGGCTATGTCCTTGTCCATGGGCTCAAGTGTCCTCAGGTCTTATCACATTTCGGACCAACCACCCCTTCCTCTTCTCTCCCTCATCTCCAGGTCAACAGGAGTCAATGGATTGTGGTTAAACCAAGCCCATTTCTTCATTGCTGCCTTTCCCCCTCTTCCACCAGCAGACCAATGTGGTCGCCAGCAAGCTTATATGCTGAGTTGTGTGTTCCCTTTGAGTTTCAGTCTTGGAGGGGAGTTTGTCCTGAAGGAACTTGATTATTTGCTTTAATGGCTTCCTGGCAAACAGCTTGCTTATTCTTGTAGTAGCCAGGCATGCTGACATTTTTGTTTTGGGTTTTTCCTGATGATCTTTCTTTGAAGATGTATCTTCTGTTGCTCTAGCTGTTCCAGGCTGGTCTGATTGTCTTTGCTAGTGGGAATGTTCCAACTCACAAGGTTCTGGATGGGACTCAGGATTCTACCTAAGGTCCTATAATCTGTAAGGCTTTGCAAGAAGCCTATTTCACTGGGCAAGTTCTAGAACTCCTTTTAGGTAGTCCAATCAGTTATAGGCTGAAGACAGGCTTACAAGTTTTCTGTAATCATGTTTCCCAACATTCCTTTCTATCCCACTTAAGTGTCAATTTTACAATAGTAGGCAAGGGAAACTAATATTCATAAGACAGTCAAGCACCACAAAAAAACACCAAAAAATGACATCAATTCTTATCTAATGATAATTATTATGAATATGAATGGATTAAATGTAGCAATCAAGAAACATAAAGAGCAGAACGGACAAAAAAAACAGGGTCCTTCAATATGCTGTCTACAAGAGACACATCAGAAAGATGGGGACAGCTTAAATGCCCATCAACAGAAGAATGGTTAAACAAACTTTGGAACATAAACACAATAGAATACTATAAAATGCTGAAGAATAATGACAAATCTGGAAAACACCTCACAACATGGGTGAACCTGTAGAGCAATATGCTGAGTGAAATTAGCCAATCACAAAAGGACAAAAATTGTTTGAGACCAATGCTGTAAAAAGTTTAAAAAAAAAAAAGAATAAAAAAAAGGGGTGGTGGTTCTTGATAAAAGAAACAATCTATGATGATTATGGGGTGAAGGGAAGGGAAGGGAAAATAATTCATGGACTAGATTGTAGACACATGTTAACATGGGTGACAGGATGGGCAATATACAAGAGAGAGGTTGGCAGAGGAGAGATGAAGGTAGCGAGAGACACAGGGAGGAATGCAATACTTAAAGTGAATAGAGGTAAATGCTGTTAATTGTTGGTGCCTGAGGGTTGCAGCCATGTAAGGAAGCAAAGTGAGGGGTTTGTTGAATGTAAAACAGATGATCTGCTCTGTAAACCTTCACTCAATTCACAATAAAAGTTAAATAAAAAGAGACAGAGATTAGAGACATATCAACCAAATGCAATATGTGAACCTCCTTTAGATATTGATGGAAGCAAAAGAACCATTAAAACATACATACATTACTTTTACATTAACTGGGGAAATAAGGTCATCATCAGGTTATTTAATGAGATTAAGGTTTATCACTACTGAAAGCGGTCCTTGTATGGTGCAGTGGGATAATGCACTGGAATGCAATGTCACTTTGATCCACAAATTGGTGATTCAAACTTACCAGCTGCTCCTTGGTCACTATGAGTCGGAACCAACACGATAGCACTTAACTACAAGGTATTGCGGTGGTTGTTTTTTCAATAGTTTTTATATATTTGAAATACATTTTGAAATATTTCTAGATGAACTGATATAAAATGTGGGATTTATTTCAAATTAACCCAGCTAGGGGGCTGGTAGCGTCCTAGTGTGTTGTGCAAGTTAATGTGCTGGATTGCAAAGTTAGTTTGAACCAAAAGGTTGGCAGTTCAAGTTCACCATCCACTTCTCAGAAACCCTATACAAGCTCACTACGAGTTGGAACCAACTCGACAGCACTTAACAACAACAAGGGGGCTGGGGAAGCAAGAGTTATACAATAGATGAACTGAATTGGGCCATGAGTAGGTAATTGTTAAACTGAGTGGTGGCTTCACTGCATTGGTTTGACCATTTTCTCTATTTCTGCCTGTGCTTAAAATTTTGTACAATAAAAGTCAGAATTATAAATGAGTGTTTCCATGAACAAACACAATAAAGCAATATGCTGAATGATGTACGTAATAAGATTAAAACTAGGATAAAGTATGTGCATGCATTCATATACTGAAAGGATATATAATTTGAAAAAATCAAAATAATGTCATTGGCAGTGCCTGGTGTGGTGCTGTAGGATAAGCACTGGACTGCTAACTACAAAGTTAGGGACTCAAACCCACCAGTTGCTCCTTGGAAACCCTATACAGGGTCGCTATGAGTCAGAGCTGACTCGACAGCACTTAAGAACAGCAAAAAAACACATGGGTGGGGTTTTTTTCTTCAAAATTTTCTTTCATATTATAGAAGCATCATCTTTTCAGAAACAAAAAAAGATGAACAGCCAAAAGTTAATGTCTGTATAACAGTTTTAGGGGTGGGGAACCTTTTTTCTGCCAAAATTTATAACATCATTTGTCGGCCATATAAAACTATCAACTGGTCTATTTGGTCTAACATTTAATTAACTCACCACTAATGTGATGGTGTGGCACTGTGGGTTAATGCGCTGGACTGCAAAGTCAGTTTGAACCACAAGGGCGACGGGTTCAAACTCACCAACTGTTCCTAGGAAACCCTATACAGGGTCGCTATGGGTTGGAACCGACTCGACAGCACTGAACAATGCAATGACTGGAGCTACAGTTGTCTTGGCAGGGCCAGACCAAATGATTTCACAAAACAACAATCACCTTGACTAAATGATCAGTAAAGACCAGTCACTTCTACCAAGCATCCCAAAGCCCCAGGCAGGATGCAGTCTCTCAGCTGTATGCAGTCCCTGGCTGTGACCCTGCTGCAGTTCAAGAAAAGAAACTGCTCAGGAGGCAACTCTCTGCCTGCCCAGGCCCTTTCCATTTTTATTTTAAAATCTCAAATGTGCAGACGTGAGGGTAGTTCATCCCAGCCAGAGCCTCTCCCAAGGAGCCAGTGAACTTGTCCATACATCACCTTTCGATCTGGGACAGGAACTTGGTTTCGAAGATGCCCCTAGTCTGGAGCCGCTCTGAAACCTTCCCATGGAAGAGGAGACCCTGCCTGGTCAGGTCGATCAGGATCTGCCGCACTATCTCCCCCAGGTACATCCCACTGGTCATTTTTTCATACCTGTTGGGAAGGAGGAATGAGGTTAGAGAAAATCAGGGCTGGTGAGCAGTTGCAGAAAAGACCAGAAGAGGGCAGAAGGCAGCTGTCTGGTTGAGATGGACCGAAAGAGGTTCCCTTAAGCAGCAAACCTGGAGAAATGCAATGCAGAGAGCAGCAGGACATGGTGACCAAGCCCCAGCTCTGCCACCGACAAGCTGTATGAATTGAAGCCTGCACTATAACCATCATCTATAGAATAAAGAGCAAAACACTGACCCTACAGAACACACTTGGCAAAAGAGTCCCTCTCCTGGCCCTCGAGCCAATTCTCCTTGGGTTTGTATGAGAAGAAATGTGTTCTGTTGGAGGTTGTGTGTATACAAATCTAGATAGACAGACAGGTAGATAGATCCGATTGGAAGAAGTACAGTCAGAATGCTCCTTGGAAGCCAGGATGGCCAGACTTCATCTCTCATACTTCAGACATATTATCAGAAGGGACCAGTCCCTGGAGAACGTGGTAATTTTTTCAAAGATGGTGCCAGGAACCACTCAACCCTATACACATGACTTCCTCCTGTTGGATCATGTCCGCTCTCTATGAGGTGGCCAGTGTGCCCTTTAGTCCAGAGGCCCTCAACTTTTAAGGCAGGTAATTAAACATTTATGACAGGTAATCTCTAGGTGACACATTCTATGCAAAGATTAGGAAACCATGGCCTGTGGACCAAATCTAACTCACCTCCTGTGTTTGTAAATAAAGCTTTATTGAAACATAGTCATGCTTCCTCATTTATTTATTCTACAAAGGCACAGTTGAGCAGTTGTGACAACGACCACATGGTCTGCCAACCCCAAAATGCTTAGTATCTGGTCCTTCATAAAAAAAGGTTTGCCAACCTCTGCTCTAGTGACTGTTGTTACTGTTAGGTGTGGTTGAGTCAGTTGTGACTCACAACGACACTATGCACAACAGAATGAAACACTGTCCGCTCCTGCACTAGCCTCACAATTGTCACATTCAAACCCAGGTTTGCTGCTACTGTGTCAACCAATCTTGTTGGGGGGCTTCCTATTTTTTGCTGACCCTCTACTTTATCATGCATGGTGTCCTTCTCCAGGCACTTCTCCGTCCTGATAGCAGCTTAAGTATTGAGTCTTAGCATTCCAGCACTAACTCTATCTACCCATTTCTTTCCAACTCAAGGAGGTATATCTGAATGCAAGTACAAATCTATTCTAATTTTTTAAAGAATGCTTCATCATTTTTAGGATTCCAAATTTTGTTAGTAATTATAGCACACCTCATAAGCTACTATTATCCATAGGTGGGATGTGATATCATGATCGAAGAAGCAGCATCCCTACCCATCAAAGGTGGTCACTTCTCTACTGTCAGAACAGAGGTCATCAGACTCTAGAAAGGCTGAGGATGTTGCCCTCTGACAGACTCACAAAGTCATCATGACTGTGCTCTGTGATGCCCAGCCCCCTGTAAGTGGACATTCCTGTAGTCTTTGACTCACTAACCTATATGATGCCTTGCTGTTATTTTTAAAAGGTGCTGTTTCTTCTACCTATGGGAAACTTGTCACAATATAGTGTTTTTGTCTGACGGAGAGTAGTAATAAATACCAAAACTACAGTGTCTATGGCATGAAAATGGTACCCCATTAGCCCTGGTAAAGTCTGACCTACACAACATGCATCCATGCACACAGACTCCCACATTCACCTCTGTTTTCCTTGGTTCAAGGACCCCTCGTCCACCTCCCTGTCGTATTGGGTCTGGATGTCATCTATGCAACCATTATCTCCAAATCCTCCCCACTCTGTGTTGATGCACATCTTCCCTTTGTTCTCTTTCATCAGCTCAATGTTCCTCATCTCCTCCATGTAGCACGCATTGCTGCCTGTTCCTAGAAGGAAAGATTAAGGAACATTCATCTTTAAAAGCTACCACCAGGTATTAGCAAGGCAGTGGATAAGAATTTACGCTTGGAGTCAGATACAAGTGGGTATGAGTTCAGCTTTATACACATAGCTGGGTGATCATAGACAAGTATCTCAGTTTCTTCACTTACAAAATGGAGATAATATCTGCCTTATAGACTTATTGCGAGGAAAACAATTAGATGATACATGTAAGTTTCCTCCATATGACAAATATTCAATAAATGCCACTTACTATTAGAATTAATGGATTCTTGGTGTGGTGCTGTAGGATCTGCACTGATCTGCGAACCACACAGTCAGTGGTTCAAATCCATCAGCTGCTCCTCAGAAACCCTATATATGGTCACTATGAGTCAGAACCAACTTGACGACACTTAATAACAACAATAGGCACACAAAGTGGGGTCCATGTGATCATGGAGTTAGCAATGAGAGCTAGAAAGAACCATCAAGAATCATCTTGTCTGGGATCAGTAAATACTTGGTATGTGTGTGCCTTTCTCTTCTGTCTTGCCCATGACCTGACCTCAGAACCATTCTCAACACAGCAGTCCAGGCAACTATTAAACAGGTATCACTTCTTCAGCCTCCTAGATCTAGCGCAGCCCCTTCCATAAATGCAGAAACTCAAGGTGTAAGTCATCTGCCTCAGGTTTGACAGTGGAGAACAGTAATAGTGAGATTGCATGGAAAACATCTCAGTGAATCCCATTACCTGGTTCCATCTACCATTCATCTCCAGAAAGCCCAGATGACCCACCTGGGACAACTTTCCCAGTTTCTGTCAGTACTTACCATGTGCCTTTCACCTGTAATGCACTTCATCTTCATCTCCACCTGTTCAAACCCTATCTCACCCCACCTCTGAGAAAGAGTCAGTCACCTAGAAACTACCTTTGGTCTTAATCATTGCCAGACTTCTCCCAAAGACCCTTAAGCCTTGTATCACTTTAGACTACTCTTTTTGTTTCTCCTGCATTTCTTTTCAACTCTTCCTCCTCTTTGAGCTCTAGCAGCTAGAAAAGTTCCAAGGAACAAAGGAAGTACACATTAGGGTCAAAGTGAAAACCTAGCTCTCTAAGGCCCAGGCCAACATGCCCAAATTCTAGCGCTGCTTTCTAACTATGAATCTAACTATGGCCTCCTTCCACCTAGGACAATCTGCCTGAAGGCCCTAATTTGAAAATTCCTTTCGATTATATAATTTTCTTTCCTGGACAGAAAGGATGACCTTGATTTGACTCTCATGGAGAAAGGTATTAAGATTTAGGAATGAGTGTTCTGGAATTACAATCTTACCTTCTTATCTGCCTTATATAAAGCTGACTTCAAAAACCTCTGTATAAGAGGACAACTGTCCCTCACTATGTAACAGTGAATTTCCAAATAGTCATATGGGATCAGATTAATGCGGACATACCTGCAATTAGGCCAATCTCACAACTGGGATCTTCATAGGCGCAGGTCATCATGGTCCCCACCGTGTCATTTATCAGTGCAACAATGTCCAAGTCAAACTCCTACAAGGGAAGCAGCTCAACTGTAAGTAGCAGGTGAAGGCCAAGCTGAGTCAGGAGGAACATATCAACCCAAGGGGGACAGAGGTCAGAAACACAGGGGCTTGGCATAGGATGGTAGAGCCAAGAGCTCCACTGGTGGGACAGAGCACCATGACTGAGAACCAGCACTCCTACCCATCATAGGGGGCCCCTCTTCATTCCCAGAACAGAGGCCACTATATACTCAGTCCAAAAACTTGAGCTCCCAGTGGATACAGGCACAAAATTAAGTCAGAAGGAAGTTGTCCCTTGAAGAGACATGATACTGAGATGCCCCAACTTGAGATTCAGAGCTAAATTCCCATAGCATACATTTCTCCTCTTGATGGCTTCTCTAAGCATTTCCACCACATCTTCATTTTCACAGTCAGTAGCCTTGAAGCCTTTGGTCCACTTTATGAGTACTCCCTGAAAGAACGGAGGGAAAATTCATTTGAGCGATAGGTTTCTGGGACCACTGCACAACTCAGTATCTAAGAGATACAATGCACTATGTTTCTGCCTGTGATTCCATTTCTGCAGACCCAACACTGAGCATGGAGGCTTCACACAGTTTGATGCTCAGACAATGCTACTTTACAGTGGAATAATTGCAGAAATGCATATGCATCAAAGGTCAAATCATGTTCGTTGGCCATGAATCCCACAGAATATAGGCCTTGGGTTGTAATGATCCCACTTCTAATTTAGCCAAGGACAGAATTAAGATATAAGTACAGGTAAGCTATAAAATGTTCATCCAAACGGCTCTTTTCTTCCTTTCTCTTTTTTGTCTTCTCTTAAATTTTTATCTTTATTATTATCTTTCTCTTCTTTTCCCCCATCCCTAATTTCACTTGTTATATTTTTTCTTTTCATTTGTTTAATTTTCCTTTTTAGTTATATTATTTTTTCTTCTTGTTCTGTGCCTGCTTTCCATACTTTTTTTTCTTTATTCTTTTCTTTTTTTGTTTTTCTTCCTCTCTCTTTTATTCTCATTCCACCCAGCAGGAGACAGTAAACATGCTGGCATGGCCCAGGCACACTTGTACCTCCTGCAGCCCCAGCCACTAGTATACAACCTGTTTGTGGATAGACAGAAGCCAAGACCAGTCAAACTCCCCCTCAACTGTGCTATACAAACAGAGAACTCTTCATATTCTGTATCACACCCACCAGGACACAGGTGGTGAGTGTCTAAGAATAGGCCAACATACAATCATCAACTAAACATAAATACCACTATGATGTTTCAGAGACAATGAAAACTTCCGTTCACATGAAAAAACAAGGCAGAGTGACTCCAACAAGTGACCAAAACACAGAGACAGCAAATCTTTCTGAAGTAGAAACTGCATGGGAACTACCTGAGAAATAATTCAAAATAATGACTGAGAAAAAGAACAAGAAAGGTGCAGTTAAAATCAATGAAAAGACAGGAAAAAAAAAACTTTAGAAGAATTCAGAAAAACACTGCAAAAGAAGCTGATGGAAAAAATGAAAATTAGAAACCATTTAAAAACAGACAATAGGAATTCAGAATATTAATACTAAGATTTCAGAAAGAGGTAATATATTGAACAGACAAATGAGTAGTATTGACTCAACGTAAGGTCAAATTAGTGAGCTGGAAGACAAATCTCTCAAATGAATCTGCTGAGGAACAACCAAAAAATAAAAATAAAAACTGAAAATCCAAGGAAAACTTAAGAATTGTGTGGGCCACTATCAAGAGGAATAATATGTATAATCAGAATTCTCAAACAGGAAGAGAAAAAAAAAAAGAGAGCACAGAGAAATTTTTCAAAAAGTTGATGGAATAAATCTTCCCTAACATCATGAAAGGTAAGAAGATATGCATTCAAGAAGCTGAATGAACCCTAAAAGGGACAGATCTCAAAAGAAAACCACCAAGACATACCACAATCAAACTTTCCAAAACAAAAGACAAGGAAAGAATCCTGAGAGCAGCTTGGAAAAAACAAAAAGTTATCTACAAAGGAGAACCAATTCTCTGATTTCTCAGCAGAAACCATGCAGGCAAGAAGACAATGGGATGATATATATAAAACTATGAAAGAAAAAAACTACCAACCAAGAAGCATATACCCAGCAAAATTGTCCTTCAAATATAACAACAAAATTAGGACAATTCCAGATAAACAGAAATTAAAAGACCATGTAAAAACCAGACCAACCTTACAAGAAATACAAAAGGGAGTTATTTGAACAGAACAACAACCAACTAACATTCATGACAACATCACCCACAAGTCAACTCAGATACAGAAGTATCCAAACTACAACCAACCTACAAGACTAAAAATAGGGAGCCTGAGATAGTTGTAATGAAGACAATTAATTACAAAGTAAAATAAGGGAATTGTGTAGTTACAGAATCTCCAAATAAAGAAAAAGTCAAGTAGATTTCATGATAGAACAGACTGTTTCAAACTAAGAAATGAATATATGTGTCACTTGGATGAAGAGGAAGGTAATATATGATAAGAAGGAGATTGGCAAAAAATGATAGAGGCAGGAGAAGCCACTGGGAGGAAAGCAAGGATTAAAGGCAATAGAGACAACTACTGTCCTATATACAATCCTACAGAGGAGTAGACGCATGAATAGTCCCACAGGCTGAACAGGTGGGAGATGGAGAGTGGGAACACACACACAAATATAGAGGTCTGACAGAAGATATTTGTACCCAGGTATTTACCCTTTGCTGCAAATATATCCATGAATATGGTGAAACATATACATTTATGAATATGTTGGGGGTAAAGTTAGGAAAACTTATTGTTGTTGTTATATGCCATCAAGACAGTTGCAACTTTTAGCAACCCTGCACAGGGTTTCCAATAAGCAGCTGGTGGGCTTGAAGCACCGACCTTGTGATTCACAGTCTGGTGCTTATCCTACAGTGCCACACCAGGAGTCCTACATCTTTACAGGAACAAATGGCTTCACCCTTTTTTCCTGGTGTGTCTGGTGGGTTTGAATCCCTAACCTGGAGGTCAGCCTAGCCCACAGTACCACCAGGGCTCCTTATTAGATACAACCAAACACCTTGAGGGATGAGTTGTTGGTTCTAGCAGCTTAGGGCCATAGTCTGAGGGGACACTAAGGTCAAATGGCATAACATAGTCCATAAGGCTAATGTTCTACATCCTACCATCCTATTAGATGTATAGTGGCTAGGGTCTTAAATGCTCATGAATGGCCATCTAAGGTGCAATTTTGGGTCTTTACCTCTCCAAAGGAAAGAAAAGGGATGACAATTGAAAACACAGAGACACAATTAGTCCAGTAGACAGACTAATGAGCCATGTAAACATCAGTCTCCACAACCCTGAGACTAGAATTAGATGTTGCCTGGCTACCACTACCAACCGCTCTGAGATGGATTCCATCAGCAGGTCCTTCCCTGAGAGAGTGGGAGAAAATATGGAACAGAACTCAAAGTCCTAAGAGAAACCAGGCGTACACAGAGACTGGTGGAACCTCAAGTCTACAGCCCTTAGTCATCCTTCAGGTCTGGCCGTGAACTCACCCTGTGATTCTGTTTCTCAGCTAAACAACAGACAGGTCTGTACTGGGAACAATAAGTTTACTGAGGTATACACATCTTAGGATAATCAACTATTTGAGATCAAAAGGATGGTGTTTATCCAAAAACAAAGTTTGGAAGGGTAAGGAAAGAAGGAGGAATGGAAACAGAAAACCCAGGGAGGAAGTGGGATAATTGATGTTACACTGAGGGGATTGTAATCAGTGAGATGAAACAAAATGCATACGAATTGCTGAATGGAAAACTTGTAATCTACTCTGTAGACCTTCACCCGATTCACAATGAAATAAATGTGAGGAAGGAAAAAAAAAGACTAAACACCTTACAACCCCGTTTATGTTGGCTGATCAGGAATGCACAGATAATATTAGTGTCTGAAGTCGCAATCAGTCTTAACTGGTCAACTTAAGGGTCATTAAAATTTCCAGTCTCTCTGCAATATGCTTGACGACCCTTTTAACAGATTTCACATGTCTCTTTATTATATGCAGTCCTAGCGACACTGTAGAATAAACACTGGACTGCAAGGTCCATTTCAACCACAATGTCAGTGGTTCAAACCCACCAGCAGTTCCTTGGGAACCCTATACAGGGTTGCTAAGAGTCGGAACTGACTCAACGACACTTAATAACAGCAACAACTTTATTGTATACAACTCTAAATTCTTCTGGGAACTTCAACTGAAAAGATAACAATGAAAAATCGACCCTGATGGATTCAAAATGGATTCATCAAAAATATATCAAATTGCTCTCTATCATGTTTCCTCAGCTGCCCAGAACCTAAGACCCTTACATAAAAGTAAATGTCACTCAGAGGGACCCTGAGATGCCCTAGTGGAGGGAGGGCACCTGCCAGGCTGACTGTAAGCCTGGCTGGGCTGTCTTACCTTGTCAATGCTCATCTGTCTGCAGGGAAAGGAGAACGTGAAGCCCAAAGGTAAGTGGGCTCCCTTGAGACCCATGTAGTCCAGGAAGTCAGAGATGCACTGCACAATGTGGTCAAACAGCTGCAGAGAGAGAGTGAGAGGCATCTGCACCTGGTGACAGGCAGGCTGGCACTCACAAAGCACAGGAAGTCCCACCCACCGCTGGTAGTTACCTCCTCGCCTGTGCCCTGCATGATTTCCAGGGGGATGGCGAAGATCTTACTGTACATCTGCACTGACTTTCGCCCTCTTTTGATCTTCACCAGGAGGACGCGGAAGTTGGTTCCACCCAGGTCCAGGGCAAGAAACTTCCCATTCTCTGTGGTAAAGAAAGTCAGGGCTACATCCTACCAATACATACTGAGCAAGAGCTGTGTGGAGGCATTAGGAGGAGAGGAACTACTAGAAAGAAACTAGGTGGGACCTGCCCTCCTGTGACTTCTGGACCTGAGAGGCAAGATGGTCACTGTGTATATAGTGTCAAGGCACTGGATATCCACTTGAGTTTGTCTGAGCCCAGACTGCATTTCTTGGCCTCCTCTTGTCCTCCTACAAGAGTCCTTTTAAATAAGACCTACCTGACTACCCTAGTGAGATGTAATGAAAGAGCCCTGGACTGGAATCAGAGGACTTGGGGACTTTGAGAAATGACCTTTTTTCTTGAGCAAGAGAGTCCAGGTGTCATTTTCCACATCTGTAAAGTAAAGGAGAGTTCCTGGGTGGAATAGTTAATGTCCTAGGCTGCTCATGAAAAAGTTGAAAGTTCTAGTTTACCCAGAGGCACCTGGGAAGAAAACGAGCCATTGAGAGTCCCGTGGAGAACAGCTCTACTCTGACACACATGCAGCTGCCAGGAGTCAGAATCAGCTGGTTTTTTCTTTCTTGTTTTTTTTTTTTTTTAAATAAGCAGGTGGGACCCTTTGAAAGCTCGTCAGCTCTAAAACCCATTCACTAACATCCTTTTAGGCTCTGGGCTTGGGGTACAGAGCTGCGTTCTGAGACTAGGGTATCTGGTCAAGAACACATGTGACCAAGGAACCTCTGGGGATAGTTTGAACCAGGATACCTTGACTGCAGCTGAACTCCAGAAGGTGCTTCCCCTTATCTGTACAGCCAAGAGAAATTGTTCAACACAAGTGTAAAATGATTCTTCCTGTGTGCATTCTCCTGCTCCCAGATCCCCACACCCACGTATTTAATAAGAAATCACATCAAGTCCCACCTCCTCAACAACACCATGCAGGCCCCTCAAAGACAGTGGTCTCTCACTTTGCTGACTTTCCACACCACTGTTGTCTGCTCTATAAAAACTTTTTACTTACTCGGTCACACTGGTCTTTTTTGACTATTTCTTGAATTTGCAATCACTCCCAAATACTTCTCTAAAGCTTATCCTGCTCTATTTTTCTTGATGTGTGTGTGTTAAGTACCACAGAGTCAATTTTGACTCACAGCAACCCTGTATAGGATTTCCAAGGAGCAGCTGGTGGGCTTGAGCCTCCAACCTGGCAGTTGGTAGTCCAGTGCTTATCCTACAGTGCCACAGCAGGGCTGTTTGATAGCACCCTTCATGAGCTAACATGATATGACACTTATCTGTTGACCGATGGCCAGCACAGCAGACTGTTCTCTGCACTGCTCTTATCAGTAGAGCCTGGAACAGGGCCTGACACAGTAGGAGGAAGGAAGGATTCAAAGAACGAAAGACTGAACAACTGAACAATCTCATTTATTGCTCTCCATCTATGACCCACGTAGACACCAAGAACACTACTAGCTCTGTAGAAGATCTAAGAGATCTTTGTTGTTAGAGATCCAAAGTTAGACTTCTGGCAAGATGGCAGGCTAGGCAGATGCACTACAGGGACCCTCTATAACAAAGATGGTGGTGGTGGCTGTGTGCCGTGGAGTCGGTTCCGACTCATAGCGAGCCTATACAGGCTTTCCAAGGCTGTAAATCTTTACGGGAGCAGAAAGCCTCATCTTTCTCCCACAGAACAGCTGGTAGTTTCGAACTGCTGACCTTGTGGTTCACAGCCTGATTCATAAATGCTATGCTACCAGAGCTAGGAGAGATAAAATAAAACAGACACAGAAGAAAATTCTGGTGCCCTGAACTTTAGGAAAAAGTTAGAGAGGAGGATGGAGTGTTTCCTGGAAGAAGAGGTTGAGAGATGGAGACTGACTGGTGAACAGCTGGCCAGATATGGCTCAGCCATCTTGTTAGCAGCTTTGGCAGCAGAGGGAGGCCTGGCAGAGCAGGTTGGTGCAGGTGACGGAACAAGTGTGGTTCCTTCTTTTTCGCCACACTCCTCTGGTGACCAGAAGTATAGCCAGCTCCCACCCTCTTCCACCCACAGCCCAGATTCTGCTCTTCAGGACTTTGATGCCACATGGTTGGGAGCCATGCCAATGTGAGGTGGGGACTGGCTGTGCCACTTTGCTGTGCTGCTTTAGTCACTGGATTCAGGTGGGCTTGACTCCTGACCTACAAAACCTACAGAGCCACCAGACCAGCATTTAACCAGTCACACAGCCCCAGCTTCACTGTGGTCCTAATAAACACTGAAACTAGTTCCATCAAGGACCCCCACAAACTGCTTGTGGATTGAGTGCCCCAAACATAGATAACACTGAGGCCAACAGGAACTCCATCTAGGGCCAGGAACTCTATTATCACATCTCTTTCACAACTCATTGTGAACTCCTTGAGTTGCAGGAGCACCCCCCAGAGATTTCTCCCCTTTGGGTCCAACAACTATACTGTTTTACAAATACAACAGCCTCACAATGCCCTGGAGACAACAGAAGATTTTAGCTCACACAAAGAAACAATAGAGAATGGCTCAAACAAGTGACAAAGATACAGAACCAGACAATTATTCTCAGGAAGAAAAGGTATTTGAGCTAATTGAAAAAGAATTCAAAAGAATGATAATTATGTACTTTCAGAGGACAGATAGAAAGATTGAGGAAAGTAGGGAGAACACAATAAAAACTTGAGAAAATTTTAGGAAAACACTACAAGAACAAATAGACAAAATAAATGTAAATTTTGAAATAATACAAAACCTGCTATTAGAAAACCAGAAGATTAATACTAAGATCTCAGAAATGGACAATACATTGAAAAGGCCAAGGAGTAGATGTGAAGCAATGGAAGCCGAAATTAGAGAGCTTGAAGATAAATCTCTCAATACTTGTATGCTAGAGAACAATCAGAACAATGAATGAAAAAAATCCAAAGAAAATCTAAGAGTTATGTGAGACACCAAGAAGAGGAACAACTTACAAGTGATCAGAATTCCAGAACAGAAAGAAACAAGCACAGAGAAAATTGTCAAAGAGTTGTTGGAAGAAAAAGTCCCTAACATCATGAAAGACGAGAAGATAAGCATACAAGAAGCTGAATAAACCCTAAACAGGGTAGATCCACAAAGAAAATTCCCAAGACATATCATAATCAAACTTTCCAAAATCAAAGACAAAGAAAGAATCCTGACAGCAGCTCAGGAAAAATGAAAAGTTACCTGCAAAGGCAAGCCAAAAGTTACCTGCAAAGGTGAGCCAAAAAGACTAAGCTCTGATTTCTCAGCAGAAACTATGCAGACAAGAAGGCAAAACTTTGAAAGAAAAAAAAAAAAAACTGCCAACCAAGAATCATATACCAGCAAAGCTGTCCCTTAAATACAATGGCAAAATTAGGACATTTGCTGATAAACAGAAATTAAAGGAATTTGTACTGACCAAACCCACTTACAAACAATGGTAAAGGGTGTTTTTCAGACTGAGACCCTACAACAGCAGCCAACAACCTGAGATTACGATACATGACACCACCACCCAGATCTCAATCCATACACAGAAGTATTTAAAGTAAAACAAACGCACAAGACTGAAAATAGGGAACTAGAGAGATCAGTGTATAATGAAGTTAACTGTGACTCTGGTGTTTTAGTATGGCACCATAGGATAAGCACTCGACCTTAATTAAGGTTGGTTTGAACCAGTAGGTCGGCGGTTCAAACTCACCAGTCACTCCTGCTATGAGTCAAAACTGACTTGGCAGCACTTAACAACAACAACAAAGCACAAAGAAGGAATAGTGTAGATACAGAACTTCCAAATGGCAAGGAAATAAATTCGATTTCAAGATAAAATAGACTGCTTTAAGCACAGAAAAAAAATTAATAAATTACAAGACAACCTCAAAGAAAAATAATACAAACAAAATTTTAAAAAGAGGAAAATAAGAAATATTTAGTAAACATTAGCATAACATAAATGAAAATGACAGGAAACTCATATAAAAATTCAGTGAAGAAAATTATGTGGAACAAAGAATCCAACAGTACCACCAAAAAGACAGGCAGAAAAATGACAGCAATCTGTTCATACTTATTGATAATTACACTGAACGTAAATGGATTACATATACCAGTGAAGAAACAAAAATCAGAATGGAGAACAAAGCAGGATCCTTTAATATGTTTTCTACAAGATACATATCAAAAAGATGAAGACAGCCTAAATGCCCATCAACAAAAGAATTATTAAACTTTGGTACATACATACGCACAATGGAATACTATAAAACGCTGAAGAATAATGATGAATTTGTAAAACATCTCACAACATGGTTGAACCTGGAGGACATTATGCTGAGTGAAATTAATCAATCACAAAAGGACAAACATTGTATGAGACCAATGTTGTAAAAAGCTTAAAAAACAACAACAAGAAAGGTTTTCTTGAGAAAAGAAACCATCTATGATGGTTATGGGGTAATGCAGGGAGAGCGGAGGAGGGAAAATTATTCACAGGCTACAGGGCAGACTTTGTTCTATCTTTTCTCTGTGCAAGTAAAGCTTTGTTCCAAGTACTAATGCGTTGGACTGCAAGGTCGGTTTGAAACATAATATTGGCAGTTTAAGCTCACCAGTAGCTCCTTGGAAACCCTATACAGTGTCTCTACAGGTCAGAACTGACTCAACAGCACTTAACAACAACACACAACTTATGTATAATATCATGTCTTTTTTTATTGACCTTGGACCCTGGCTTGACAGAAGTCATTGGAGGGCTTTAAGCAATGTTACCATCACTCGTCTGTCAGTTTGTCATACTGTGGTGGCTTGTGTGTTTCTGTGATTCTGGAAGCTATGCCACGGGTATTTTAAACACCATCAGGGTCACCCTTTGTGGACAGGCTTCAGATGAGTTACAAGATGAAGACACTCTAGGAAGAGAGATGGGCTATTTCCAAATATTTAGTCACTGAAAACCTTATGAATAGCAGTGGAACACTGTCAGATATAGTGCCAGAAGATGAGCCTCTCAGGTTGGGAGTCACTCAAAATACAATAGGGGAAGAGCTGCCTCCTCAAAGTAGAGGTGACTATGATGACATGAATGGAGTAAAGCTCTCAGGATCTTCATTTGCTAATGGGGCACAACTCAAAATGAAAAGAAATAGACGTAAACATCCATTAATAACTAGAACACAGAATGTACAAAAGTATGAATCTAGGAAAATTGGAAGTTGTCAAAAATGAAATGGAATGCATAAATATAGATATCCTAGGCATTAGTGAGCTGAAATGGACAGGTATTGGCCATTTGAATCTGACAATCACATGGTTTACTATGCCAGGAACGACAAATTGATGAGGAATACCATCATCACCAAAAAGAACATACACAGATCTGTCATAAAGTATAATGTTTTCTGTGATAGGGTAATATCCATAAGCTTACAAGGAAGACCAGTTAATACCACTATTATTCAAATTTACATACCAACTACTAAAGCCAGTGATGATGAAATTGAAGAATTCTACCAACTTCTTCAGTCTGAAATTGATCAAACACGCAATCAAGATAGATTGATAATTACTGGCAATTGGAATGCAAAAGTTGAAAGCAAAAAGGAAGGATCATCAGAAGTTGGAAAACATGGCCTGGTGATAGAAACGATGCTGGAGATCACATGATTGAAATTTGCAAGACCAATGATTTGTTCATTGCAAATACCTTTTTTAAACAACATAATGTATATACTCACCAGATGGAATACACAGAAATCAAATTGACTACATCAAAGAGACAGTGGAAAAGCTCCGTATTATCAGTCAAAACAAGGCCAGGGGTAGACTGTGGAACATATCATCAATTGCTCATATGCAAATTCAGGCTGAAGCTGAAGAAAATGAAAACAAGTCCACAAGAGCCAAAATATGACCTTGAATATATTCCACCTGAATTTAGAGATCATCTGAAGAACAGATTTGATGCATTAGACACTAAAGACAGAAGACCAGAAGAGCTATGGGATGACATCAAGAACATCATACAGGAAGAAAGCGAAAGGTCATTAAGAAGACAAGAGAGAAGGAAAAGACCAAAATGGATGTCAGAAGAGACTCTGAAACTTGCTCTCCAACATAGAGATACTAAAGCAAATGGAAGAAATGAGCAGGTACAAAAGCTGAACAGAAAATTTCAAATGTCAAAAGTCAAATGTTATAATGAAATGTGCAAAGAAACTAAAACAGAAGAACACACTCAGCATTTTTCAAGCTTAGGGAACTGAAGCAAAATACAAGCCTCTACTTGCAGTATTGAAGGGTACTCTGGGAAAATTATTGAATGATGCAGAAAGCATCAAAAGAAGATGGAAGGAATACACAGAGACACTGTACCAAAAAGAAATGGTTGATGTAAAATCATGTCAAGAGGTAGCATATGCTCAAGAGCCAATGATCCTGAAGGAAGAAGTCCAAGATGCACTGGAGGCACCTGGAATTGATGGAATAAAAATTGAAATCTTTCAACAAACTAATGAGGCACTGGAGGCACTCACTTATCTATGCCAAGATATTTGGAAGACAACTGCCTGGCCAACTAACTGGAAGAGATCTGCATTTGTGCCCATTCCAAAGAGAGGTGACCCAATGGAATGCGGAAATCATTGGACAATATCATTGAGATCCCATGCAAGTAAAGTTTTACTAAAGGTAATGCAAAAATGGCTGCAAATATACATTGACAGTGTACTTCCAAAGGTTCAAGCCAGTTTCAGAAGAAGCCATGGAAAAAGGGATCTCATTGCTGACATCAGATGGATCTTGGTTAAAAGCAGAGAATACCAGAAAGATATTTACCTGTGCTTTACTGACAATGCAAATGCTTTCGATAGTATGGATCATGACAAGCTATAGACAACATTGCAAAATATTAGTATTCTAAAACACTTAATTGTGCTCATGAGGAACCTGTACATAGACCAAGAGGCAGTCGTTTGAACAGAACAAGGGTACTTTGAATCGTTTAAAATTAGGGAATGTGTGTGCCAGGGTTGTCTTCTTTCACCATATTTATTCAATCTGTATGCTGAACAAATAATCCAAGAAGCTGGATTATATGAAGAAAACCATGGCATCAGGATCGGAGGAAAACTCATTAACAACCTGCAATGATACAACCATGCTTGGTGAAAGTGAAGAGGACTTAAAATACTTTTATGAAGAGCAATGACCACAGCCATCGGTATGGATTGTACCTCAATGTAAAGAAAACAAAAATCTTCACTACTAGACCAATAAACAACATCTATATCAATGGAGAAAAGACTGAAATTGTCAAGTACTTCATTTTGCTCGAATCAACTATCAACACTCATGGAAGCAGCAGTCAAAAAAATCAAAAAATACATTGCATTAGGCAAATCTGCTTCATAAGACCTTTTTAAAGTGCTGAAGAGCAAAGATGTCAGTTTGAGGACTAAGGTGCACCTGACCTAAGTCATGGTATTTTTAATAACTTCATATGCACTCAAAAGTTGGACAGTGAATAAGGAAGACCAACAGAAGAATTGATGCATTTGAGTTATGGTGTTGGAGGAGAATATTTAGAAAACCACGGACTGCCAAAAGAACAAACAAATCTGTGTTAGAAGAAGTACAGCCAGAGTGCTACTTGGAAGCCAGGATGGCCAAACTTCATCTCTCATACTTGGGACATATTATTAGGAGGGACCAGTCCCTGAAGAAGGATATCGCATTTGGTAAAGTGGAGAGTCGGAGAAAAAGAGGAAGACTCCCAATGAGATGGGTTGGCACAATGGTGGCAGCAATAAGCTCAGGGGTAACAATGATTGTAAGGTTGGCACAGGATTGGGCAGTGTTTCATTCTGTTGTGCATAGGGTTTCTAAGAGTTGGTACCGACTCAATGGCACCAAACAGCAACTAACGGCAGATACATGTTAATATGAGTGACAGGGCAAGCAATACACAAGAAGGAGGTTAGCAAAAGAAAGATGAAGGTAGTGGGAGATACAGGGAGAAATGCTACAGTTAGAATCAATCAAGGTAAATGATGTTAATTATTGGTACATGGAGGGGATTGCAACCATGTAATGGAGCAAAATACATGATCTGTTGAATGTAAAACTGATGATCTGCTCTGCAAACCTTTACTCAATTCACAATGAAAAGTTTTCCAAAAGATCTAAAGTTTACTGTGTAGCCATGAATAGGACATCTAAATCTCTTGGAATCTCAGTTTTGGCATCCATAAAATGGGAATCTTTCTCTCCCTACTTAATACACAAAGTGGTTATTTTTGAAAACTCAGCAACAAATTATAAAATGTAGGAATTTTATTGTTGCAGCAGCATCGAATAAGTTCCGACTCACTGTGACCCTATCCAAAGCTATAAATCTTTACAGGAGCAGAAAGCCTTCGCTTTCTTCCGTTGTGAGGCTGGTAGATTCGAACTGCTGATCTTGCAGTTAGCAGCCCAGCTCATCACCCACTACACATTCAGGGCTCCTTCAAGGATTTTACAAAGATCATTATTTCCAGATGAGACTTGTTCAGTGCCGTGGATTCAGTTCTGACTCATAGCAACCCTATACGAGATCTCCAAGGAGTAACTGTGGTTAACAGTCCAGTGCTTATCCTACAGTGCCACACCAGGACTCCAGATGAGAGAGACTAGTAAAGGTCAAAAAGGGAAAATAATTTGGCCCAAGAACGAATTCTATTAGTTAGTAACTTCTCTCAGTTGAGCACAGAGAACCAGGAAAAGATACAAGGTTGGAAAAGTCAGAGACAAAAAGTGATGAGAAGGCAGAGGGTGAGCCAGAAGAAAGCAGAGTCAGAAAAGTTAAACAAGATGCCTAGGCAACCCCATATGTCTAAATGGGAGCTTCCCAGGGTCTGAATGTGGATCTCCTGTTTGCTACCAGTATTGGGTGTATGGATATCAACTCCATGTCCTCAACAAAATACATACACACACACATAGGTATCACACTCATAAATACACACACAGACACCACACTCACAAACACACACACAGACACCAGACTCACAATCATATACGCATACATTGGGAATCTAACTTATTTGTTCACTGGAAATACCTTGTTTTAACTAAGGAAACAGGTTCCGGAGTACTGGTACCCTGCCCTACTCACCTTCCACTCCATTACAAACATGAATCTAAGGCTTTAAAAACAGAAACCCTAACGGGCTCTACGGAGCATTAATGGAAGCTCTGGGGCCCTGACGACAAGGGCTGGCCTGTCTCACCTGTGCCGTCCGGAATCCCATACACATAGGTGGGTAACATCTTGACTGTGGCCATCGGGTGGGTCGTCTTCTTCAGCCCATACTCCAGCTCAGCCCTCATTTTGTCCCGCACGCCTACAAGGTGCTCGTGAGTCAGCCGAAACAAAGCCAGTAGCTTGTCAATCTGCTTCCTCTGGGCCTGTACTCGCAAAGCCACCGCGGTCACCATGGCAGCCCCCTTGGAGCTGCCATTCTCAGACAGGAGGAAGCGGACATCACAGTTTGGGACCAGTTTCCTCACAACCTTATGCAGACGTTTGGGGTACCTGGAGACAGCGGTAATGGCTATAATAGGTAACAATCAGAAAGATCTGGCCCAGTCATTCAGAACACATGCTGGGGTAGCTGAAGAACAGGGCCGAGAGAGCCCTACTGGGCCTGGCTCACCCCTTCCACTGCTGGATGGGAGGGAGGGCAGATGAGGGGATGAAGGCAAGGACCTATAGTTGGGGCAGTGGAAGTGGCACTTGGGAGGCTCAGGAGCATGACTATTTTATCAATTAATACTTCAACCAATAGGGGATGTCCACACAAAATGTACTGAATAAACAATATCATTTCTGCCCAAAGCGCGTGATATTTTCTTTCCCCAGATCCTTCCAGTGTGCCTACTGACTTCCAATATCATTTCTAGTAACTAGAGACGTTTGCTCTCCTTCCTTTGGGAATTCTCATTTTCCTACCAAGATCCTTCGTATAAACTTGGCAACCTCTGTCATCCCTGCTCTTCTCCATCTCTAATTAGGTATGTCTTATTTTCTAGAAGGAGTCCTGCTATGGTGTTCCAGGATAAGCAATCAATCATGAGGTCAGTTTGAACTGCAAGGTCAGCAGTTCACACTCACCAGCTGCTCCTCGGAAACCCTATCCAGGGTTGCTATGAGTCAGAACTGATACAATGGCACTTAACAACAACAACTACATAGCAGGTATTCAATAAATAATGAGTAGATCGGTGAATAGATAGATGGGCAGATGGATGAATGGGCTGACACATGGACAGACAGTCTTGCTAGCTGGGTAGCTGGATTTAGAATAATATTTCTCTAAGAAAGATACTCAAAAATAGCCCAGTCAGCTAGAGGACTGGTCCTTGTAATCCCAAAACCAGTAGGGGTGGTTGATTGTGTTACCCAGCATTCTATAGGAAAATGCACACTATCCTTGTTTCAAAGTGTCCTGAGATCCCTCCCTTTGAGATAAGAAGTAACTGTAGCTAACTTTTTGAGAAACAACAGATTGTCAGGTTTTGTTGACACCAGAGAGGGATCATAATGATCCCTGAGAAAAATGTTTTCATATGCAGTTTACCTGCACAGAAAGTCTGTGACAAACAATTTTTGAAAGATTAACTTAAGACTCACGTGTAAAAATCCCTCTTCCCTTTTCAGACTTTGGAGCACTTTGCAATTGACTATTACCCCAGCTTAAGCTATTGTAAATCCAAAAATAATGATATTGGAAGCTGACATTTGGGGCGTGAAGATACTCTGTACCTTTCCAGCATATACATAAAGGAATGTCATTGTTAAGTGCCTTCCAGTAGGACTCATAACGCCCCTGAATAGGATTTCCGAGGCTGTAAATCTTTGCGGGCACAGAACACCTCATCTGTCTCTCATCAAGTGGCTAGTGGCCTCGACCACGCCAAACTGTGGTTCGCAGTTCAGTGATTATCCTACAGCAGCACCAAGTTCCCGCATAAGGGAATACAACTTGTTTATGCGTCCTCACTTGGAGTGACTGAATTGGCAAATCATTACACTGGACACTAGCCCACATTGGGGAGGGGTTTCAACAGCCCAGGTGAGAAGCACACAGGAGAAAACAGCTGGGGCTCCGTTCCAGGGGGCGCTGGTTGTGGAGCGTTGTCACACAGCACTTACTGGGGGTGTATCTTGTAGAGGGTACCATCTACGCCCACCGTGGTCCGGAGTCGCTCCAGCTTCTTGTTCTCCCGGAGACGCGTCAGGATGGCTGCCAGGGCCGCAGCGCAGAGATTGGCGGAGCGGAAGGAGACGATGGTGCAAACGTGCTGGACCGCAATGCAGTCTGCCTCTGACGGCTCCAAGCCCAGATCTGTAAGGATCTCTTTAGTGTTGGCAAGGCCTTCTTTATACCTGGCCGGGCAACATGGATGAGAAGATAACACTTGTCCATTTCCTGAGAGGCCAATTTCCCACCTTTCAGGATTGAGAACATAAACAGCCGGCACCCAGGAATATAACGATATTACCAACCATAATGATAGCAGCCAACATTCACTGAGCACTCACTGTGTACCAGATACGTGTCTAAGGACGTCACACACTCAATCATCCCCACAAGAATCCTGTACAGGCGAGAGACCCCAGGCACAGATAGGTACAGAAAGGTTAAGTAACTTGTCTGTGGTCACATAGCTAGCAAGTGTTATTAGAGCCAGGTTGAACTCGGGCTGTCAAATAAAGAGCCCACACTTTTAACCACCCTGAACAATATTGGCTTACAGGAACTCCATCTCTGCCAAGCACCTCACAGAATAGACTCTGGGGGTCAGATGCCACTCAGCTGAATTCAGACTCTAAATCAATTGCCAAGCTCAGGGCAACCCCAGGCTTTTAAGCCTGAGGGGGCAGGACCATTATTACAGGGAGCTGTGTGAAGGACACAAATCACCAAATTCAAAGGCAGTACCTTCAGGGACCAGGTGAAGGAGGTGCTTGCTATAGCAAGGGTTGGACTCCAGGAAAATTATGTGTGAATGTGCATTTTGTGAGTTAAAGTGTCCAGAACTCAAATCAGATTGCCAAAGAAGTCTCTGATTCCTCAATGTTACAAGTTACCACTTTAGGGAAGAAGGCAGTAAAACATGGGGAGGGGATTCAACAGCAGAATTCTTGGCTGGTGAAACCCTCAAGAATGCACATTCAAGCTTTGACAGAAAGTGCTGACACATGTGAAGCTGTTCCCAGGTCTGACATCCTCCTGGTAAAGAACGAAGAGCCAGTCCCTCATGCCGTCCCCATGACCTGCCTTGGTCCCCACACCCACCCTAACCCTCTGCAGAATCAAGACTGGTTACTTCTGCTTACTTCTCCATGGCAGCCACATGTTGTGTCTCAATCATGTCCTTAGTGAGGAGAGCAGAGGATGTCTTGCCACCAAACAGGAGGCCAGCCCTGGCCATCTTCAGCAAGATAAGCCTGACGAGTTCCCCCAGGTACAGGCCGCTAATCATCTTCTCAAACCTGCAATTTGGTGAGGAGATCAGTGGGAGCAATACATTGGGTTCTGCAGCATTTTCTCAAAGACCACGAGTCACAACCCAGATTAGGAGCATGTGGAGTGGAAGATCTGCCAAGAGCCAGACCCAGCAAATTTATGCCAGGGGTTTTTTCTGAAGGGGGATGCGGTGGCCGGCCATAAGAATTGCACAGAATCATGGGTCGTGATGAATTCAAAATCTTATTACATGTTTTATTCTTCTCATTTCTATGCTACTCTACTACTCTACTTCTCTCATTCTTTACTGTCCTGCTCATTCTTTACTCCCCTGCTCTCGTGCTCATCTCTTCTGCTTCTTTTCTCCCTTCCCCTGCTCTACTTTACTCCTTGTAGCCTCCCTCCATTCTTTTCTCATTTTCTCTCCGCCTCATATTCCTTCTTCTCCCCTTCCTCTCCCTACTTCCTTCTACTTACCTCTACTTACTTCTATTCTTTCTTACAACCCCCTTATATACCGTTACAAAAAACATTGCTTTCATAGTAATCAGTGACATCAAAATACAATCAAGTCTGGGGCACATTTTTCATGATTTACAACAGGGATGAAAAGTTACAGCAAAGAGACATTATCTCAAGGCATACGAGACATTCAGGCGCCTTGAAACCTTTTAGTCAAACGTTTGTTCCTACATAAATCTATTCTTTTCTCTAAGAAGCAAGTTAACCTTCACATACGTTTCTTAACCTTTGTTGAGTCTTGATAATTCTAGTTGTTAGGTGCAATTAACTCTCCATTAACTTCTTCCTTACACTATCTGTTTATAGCCTACAAAAATATCACTTATCAGGGAAACTGAGGCTATGAAAAACAACTTCTCTATTTTACTGATCATTAATTTAAGAACATCAAAGTCAGACTTTTTATTTAGTATCTGTATATACCCATAACCTTTATCTATAGTCTAATTGTTTTTAGGAATTCTTGTATCTACAGTCCTTATTTATGGCCTGGTTGCTTTTAAGGATTCTTTATTGGCTTAAACTAAGGCTACAAGGAAGAATGTTTACAATCACTAAACCTAAGCTGGTAGTAACTAAGCTGGCAGTAATTCAATTGACAAATCCTGTCTCCTAGCAATCTTAAGAACATTGTTAATATAAGTATTAAAACTACAGCGTAGTGGTTACGAATCGGGCTGCGAACCTTAAGGTCAGTGGTTCGAAACTACCAGCCGCTCTGCGGGAGAAAGATGAGGCTTTCTACTCCCGTAAGGATTTACACCCTCGGAAACCCTGTACAGGGTCGCTATGGGTCGGCTCCGACTCGAAGGCACTTAACAACAACAACAACATGATTACAAGTAGTGTAAATGTAGCTAGTATATGGCTTCTAACTTTTAATAAAAATATACTAAAGTGTAGGAGAGTCAAAATCTAAAGTAAAGGGATACTAATAAAATCATGAATAAATCAGAGAATGATTCAACAAGAGAAAAATTTAACTAGGGATCTGCACATAGAATATTAAATCCTTGCAGCTCTGCTATCCAAGGAAAATAGCTCATTGTTGCTTTGCTAAAACAATGAATTCTTCTATGTGCAGGGTCCTCGTTGTCTCATTTATTTATTTTAATTCCTCAATTAATATGTCTCAATTTATTTATTTTAATTCCTTAATTATGGCTTTTGCCAAAGATCCACTTGGCAGTGTGTTCTAGGGAGACCATTTATCCTCTCTGGCCTTCATTCTCCTCATCCACAAAAGCAAAGAGCTAAGAAGTCCAGGTGTGGCACTGAAGGATAAGCACTGGACCGCAAGGTCGATTTGAACCACAAGTTGGCGGTTCAAACCCACCAGCTGCTCCTCGGAAACCCTATACAGCATCGCTGTGAGTCAGAACCAACTCTATGGCACTTAACAAAAACAAGCTAGAAGAGATCCAAGATTCCTCCCTGCTCACAGTGTGCTTCATTCCAAGGCTCTTCATGGTAAATGGCTTCAGGCTGTGGGAGTGTCATTCTCCTGTTAGGGGTACCTGTTGCCATTGAGTCAATTTCGACTCATAGTGACCCCATGTGTGTCAGAGAAGAACTGTATTCCATAAGGTTTTCATTAAGAAGCTCTGGTAGCATAGTAGTTATGAGTTGGGTTGCTGACCTCAAGGTCAGCAGTTTGAAACTACCAGCTGTTCCACAGGAGACAGATGAGGCCTTCTGCTCCCGTAAAGATTTACAGCCTCAGAAACCCTGTACAGGGTTGCTATGAGTCAGAACCGACTCCACAGCATATAACCACTACCCACCACCAGGTATGGGAGGGAATGGGAAAAGAAAGGAGAGTTTTTGCTTGGGAGGAGGGGGAGCATTGAGTTTATGTTATTGTTGTTATTAAGTGTCATCAAGTTGGTTCTGACTCACACCAACCCTGTATAGGGTTTCGGAGGAGCAGCTGGTGGGTTTGAACTGACAACCTTGTGGTTCACAGCCTATTGCTGATTCTACAGTGCTGGTGAGCTTGAAACACTGACCTTACAGTTCAAACTGACCTGGGATAATTTGGAAAAGGATGGTGAGAATAGTTTGCACAACTTGAAGAATATGATCAGTGTTGCTGATATGCACATGTTAAAAATTGTTGAACTGGCATATGCTTTGTTGTGTATACTTTCACCATAATAAAAACATGCATTAGAAAGAACAATTCAATGATCAGACTCAGATGTTTCTAATTTGTACATCAAGCTCTCTCCAGAGAGAAAGATGCTCTTGTCTCTGAGGTGGCGTGGATGGCCCCAGAAAGGTTCCCCTATATTGTGAATGAGATGTCCCATGAGGCTCTCCACACCTTTGCTCACCTCCATGCAAACCAACGCACGATTACTCATTGTTTCTCAAGTACAAAATGACACATAACTTTTATCCCCCAACCCAATATCATACAAATCCAGTTTCATAATCAACTTTACATATTTTACTACCAAAATAAAACAAAACCTCAGAACATCAAAGAAAAACAGGCTGGGTTTGGGGGAATGGAATTGTACTTCAGTGAACTGGAGATCGATGAGGATGATAAAGTCCAAAATATGACAGCACACTGACAGGAAGCGGCTCCTCTGGTTCACCACGGACGTGGGTGTGCACTGGAGAACACCATTCATCCAAGACAAACCTTTACTTTACAAGCCTGCAATTCTGGTTTTGAATCATGTCTAGGAGGTGCTTAAAATACTTATTTACTAGGGTTCCTTGGGAAATTATTGATCCAGGGCTGGGCCTGGAAAAGAACAAGATAAGCCTGGAACATCGTACTGTGCCCCAAATAAGGAAGTACTTAAACAGTGATGGGAAATGTCAAAAGGTCACAGGAACCAACCTGGAGAGGCCTCCACTGGCCAAATTTGAAAACATGTCAACATCGAAATAAATCATGATAGGAAAAGATTATAACCAATTTAATAGAAGAATCCATAAATCCATAAAATACATGGAGGATATAAGACGGTGCTTCCTTACGGAATTGTTGTTAAGTGCTGTTCAGACGCACAGTGATCCTGTGCAGGGTTTCCAAGCTTGTAAATCTTGGTGGGAGCAGGAAGCCTCATCTTTCTCCTGTGGAACTTGAATCACTGACCTGTGGTTTGCAGCCCAGTGCTTATCCTACAGAGCCACTGCATTACCCTCCTTACAGATAAACAACTCATAAATACAAAAGGAATGGATTCAGGAATTCATTAGTGGTGGTTATGTGCCATGGAGTTGGTTCCGACTCATAGCAACCCTGGACAGGGTTTCCGAGGCTGTAAATTTTTACGGGAGCAGAAAGCCTCATTTTTCTCGCATGCAACAGCTGGTAGTTTCAAACTTCTGACCTTGCGGTTCGCAGCCCAATTCGTAACCACTACGCTACCAGAGTTCCTTAGGAAATCATTAATGGATACTAAAACTAGTGAGTGAAAATTTGTTTCATAAGGAATAGGATATTTGCATGGTCTCAAAATTCCTCATGACACATTTATTAATTGCAAGTGAACTAATAATAACTTTATGTTGGTAAAACCTGCTGGGTATCCCTTAACCAAGTCACTCCAGTTACCGTCACCTGTAACAGAATAGATATTATGTGCCTTCTGATATACGGCACCAAAAAGGACACATCACTTCTCTGGTATTCCTGCCAAAAATGCACTATTGGAAGTTCATCAAGCTAAAGTATGAGACAAATCCAAATGGAGAGAGACACCATGCGAAATAAATAGTCTGCATTCTTTAAGGTCATGAAAAACATAGAAATGCTACAGAACTGTTCGAGATTAAATTAGGAAGCTAATTTGCCAGCAAAACCCCACATGTAATCCGGATTGGAGCCTGAACTAGAAAATTGGTTTTCTTTTTTACTAATGGAAATTAGTGCAGCAAGTGATAAATTTTTCATAGAGTCTCCAAATTAGATACTAGAACGAATTATGTGTTAATTTTCATAATGATACTGTAGTTTTATAAGAGAATGTGCTTGTTTTTAAGAAAGACACATAGAAGTGCTTAGGGGTAAAATAGTATTATGTCAGCAACTTAGTCTCAAATGGTTCAGGAAAAATAATTTTGTACATACAAATGAGGGTTTCAAAAAGTTCATGGAAGAAGATAATGGAATTTTTCCACAAACTTTTTGAAGTCTCTGAATATGCGTGTTTTATATGTGTGAGTCCCTGAATGACACAAAATGGTTAAAAAGCACTCAACCTCAAGGTCGGTTTAAACCATAAGGTCAGCAGTTCAAACTCACCAGCCTCTCCTTGGGAACTACAGAGGGTCACTATGAGTCAGAAGTGTCTCAAAGGCACTTAATAACAACAACTTGCCAAAGGATTATAGTTTGAACAGAACCAGAGGTACCTCTGAAGGCAGAGCTGACAATCTGCTTCTAAAAGGTCACAGCTGTGAAACCCTATGGAGCGTGGCTACACTGCACACACAGGTGTCGTGAGTCAGTATCAACTCAATGGCAACTAACCACACATGTGTCCTCTCACGTACACAGCAAGAGCAAGAGAAGGACATGAGGAAGTATTCATATTAGGGCAATCTAGGATCTTTGCAACTTTTCTATAAGTCTTAAATTATTATTTTTTTATTTTGATTTATTTTATCCATCATTTAACGAGCTGTTAGGATATGTAAGGTGTCAGGTAGAATGTAAAAAAAAAAAAAAGGAAAGGCAGAGTATGGAAAAAGAGATGATACAGACAGGGAGGTGTGTTGGGATAAGCACTGAGGCTGGTCACTAGAAGGCTTCCTGAGGCCTGAAGCTGGGAAGAATGAGACCAGCAAACAGGGAAGGAAGGGCCTTCTAGGCCCACCAGGTGCCTTGTGATTCAGTATCTGAGAAAGCAGGTAGTAGGGGGTAATGGCAACCCAAAGGTATTCAGCTGAGTCCTACATCCTCGGCCTCCCACTGGTCAGATCTGAGACTCCTTGTCTGGAGGCTCTGAGAAGGCAGAACCCAGGTCCAGGGCCCACACTTACAGTCCTGTCTCCAGTTCTCCATAAATACTGAGGGAATTAGAATGATGGTTATGACCTAAGGGAAATCACTCAATTTCCTTATCTTTAGTTTCCTTATCTGTCAAATAAAAAAATAAAATACAAGCCTTGCATTATAAACTCATTGTGATGAATAACTATTGTTGTTGCTAAGGATGAGGTGGGGGGGGGGGGATCAGAGATGAGCAAGACATTGCTGCTACCTACAGGAAGCTTGGAGTCCTGGCTAACACTTTAGACTGCAAAAGTGGTTTGAACCACAAGGTCAGCTGTTCCACCTCACCAGCCGCTCCTCAGAAACCCTATACAGGGTTGCTATGAGTCGGAACCAACTCGACAGCACACACAACAACACAGAGAGCTTATGTTGGGGACCCTGTTTAGGGTTTCCAAAGAGTGACTGGTGTGAACCATTGACCTTGTAGTTAGCAGTCGAGAGTTTATCTTACAGTGCCACACCAGGATAACTGTTGTTGACGGTAAGTGCATCTAGTTAATTCTGATTCATAGTGACCCTGTATATGGTTCCCAAGGAGCAGCTGGTGAGTTTGAAGTGTCCACTTTGTGCTTCAAATCGACTTTGTGGTCAAGTGCTTATCCTACAGCACCACACCAGGACTACTAGTCACAACCAAAAACCCTCCTAGGTGAGGTGGTGATGTACCTGAATGATCGGGTATTTCCTGGGACAATGTCCATATTATAACATGCTGATACTTACAGTTGCTTCCCTGGGTTGAGAGAGCCAAGGTCCAGCTCCCTGTCAAACTCTGTGCGAATGTCTTCCAATGCTCCGTCGTCCCCAAAGGCCCCCCACTCCGTGCTGATGCACATCCTGCCCTCGTCGCCTTCCACCAGGTCTATGTTGCTCATGTCTTCCATGTAACATGCGTTGGAGCCCGTTCCTGAACAAAGGACCAGAGAAAATATGCAAAGAGGGACAGGCTCTGGGCTGGGCAAAACCAGAGAAAACTCAACTGCCTTCAAGTCGTCCTGAAAGTGCTTTAGATCTACTCTAGGGACTGGCTCTAGCTAAAGAAGGCAGTGTTGGCAAGTCTGGAATTCATGACAGAATAAATCTGATTGTCAGATCTGTCCTTCTCAGAATGCCAATGGTTTGTTGTTTTGAATGGAGCCATTTGTGGCTGGTGGGTTTGAACCACCAATCTTTCAGTTATCTTATACTACTGCACCACAGAGATAAGTTGTCACATCAGAAAGCAACATTCCTTTACTCAAACACAAAATCAAATCACTCCTGGGAAATGACTCAAAGACTTGGGTACTAGCAGTGACTGTAAATGGACAAAGGAATCCTCTTAGAATGATGGGAATGATCTGACATTGCACTGTGGCAGATAGTTACAAAACTCTGTGAATATACCAAAAATCATCTAGTTGTATACTTAAAATGAGACCATTTTTTTTTTTTTTGCTTCACTAGAACAGAAGTCCTGGTGTGGCACTGTGGGTTAATGAGCTGGACTGCAAGGTCGATTTGAATAGCATGGTTAGTTTGAACCACAAGGTTAGTCTGAGCCACAGGGTCAGTGGTTCAAGCTCATCAGCTGCTCCTTGGAAACCCTATGCAGGGTCACTATGAGTCAGAACCAACTCGATGGCACTTAACAACAAGATCTGTGTTTTTTAAAAACAATACTTCGATGTCTTCTCCTGGCTGATTCTCTAGTCTGGGGACTTTAAAGACCAGCATGAGAACAAAGAAATGCAGAAAATTATAATTTAATATAATAAATGGCAGACATTTTTCTCAGAAAACGGTGGCACTGTTAGACATAGCACCAGCCTATTGGTTGGTGACCCCACAGTCACAAAGGTGGACTAGTGGGCAGTAGCAGGATGGTAGGCTGGCAGCCCCATTCTGCTGTGTGGGGGAAGGCAGATGGAGCCCACCAGATTAAAGATCATGCTCTTAGGGAAAGTCAGGCTGAGAAGGGTGCTGTTGGAACTCAAGAAAAAGCAATTCCAAAATCTTCCCCCATTAGTGACAAAGGAATGAGAAGAGGGACTCTTCAAGGATACCCTAGAAATCAGAGACATTTGGCTTTATTGTATCCCAAACCAACTTTCCATGGACCTCCTTCCCTTCAGTGTTCAACCATTTCAAGAGGTAGCAGCATATGATTAAGAACTAATGGTACTGAAGGAAGACGTCCAAACTGCACCGAGGCATTGGCAAACAACAAGGCTCCAGGAATTGATGAATTACACACTGAAATGTTTAAACAAATTGATGCAGTGCTGGAAAAATTCATTGTCTATGCCAAGAAATTTGGAAGACCCTGGAAGAAATCCATATTTGTCTGATTCCAAATAAAAGACAATCCAATAGAATGTGGAAATGATCCAGTGATATCATTAATTTGCATGCAAACAGAGTTTAGTTGAAGATAATTAAAAAATAGTTGCAGCAATAAATCAATGGGAGCTGCCAGGAATTAAAGTTAAATTCAGAATAAGTCATGGAACTAGGGATAGCATTACTGAAGTCAAATGGAACTTGGCTGGGAACAGAGAATACCAGAAAGATTTTTACTTATGCTTTAGTGTCTATACAAAGGCATTTCGCTATGTGGATCAAAACAAACTACAGATAACACTGTGAACAATGGGAAGTCCAGAATGCTTAGTTGTACGTATGCTGAACCTGTACATGGACCAAGAGGCAGTCATTCAAGCAGAACAACGACTCTACATGGTATAAAATCAGGAAAGGCGTGCATCAGGGTTGTATTCTTTTAACTATACTTGTTCAATCTGTATACCTAGCAAATAATCTGATAAATTAGACTATATGAAGAAGAGTGAGGCATCAGGATTAGAGGAAGGCTTATTAACAACCTGCAATATGCAGATATAACCATGCTTACTGAAAGTGAAGAGGACTTGAAGCACTTACTGATGAAAATCAAAACTACAGCCTTCAGTCTGGATTGCTCCTAAATGTAAAGGAAACAAAACCCCTCACAACTGGACCAGTAAACAGCATCATGATAAATACAGAAACTATTGAAGTGATCAAGAATTTCAATTTACTTGGATCTACAATCAGTGCTCATGGAACAGCAGTCAAGAAATCAAATGACATACTACATTGGGCAAATCTGCTACAAAAATATCTCTGGGTGGTAGTGGTGGTATGTTCTGGAGTTGGTTCCAACTCATACCTGTACAGGGTTTCTGAGGCTATAAACCTTTACAGGAGCAGAAGGCCTCATCTTTCTCCCATGGAACAGCTGGTAGTTTCAAACTGCTAACCTTGAGGTTAGCAGTCCGACTCATAAGCGATACGCTACCAGAAGTCCTAAAAAGACCTTTAGAAAGTGTTAAAGAACAAAGATGTCACTTTGAGGAGTAAGGTGTGCCTGACCCAACCCATAGTATTTTCAATCACCTCTTATACACGCAAAAGCTGGAAAATGAATAAGGAAGACCAAAAAAGAATTGACGCATTTGAATTATGGTGTTGGTGTGGAATATAGAAACTACTGTGAACTGCCAGAAGAATAAACAAATCTGTCTTGGGAGAGTACAGCCAGAATGCTCTTTGAAAGTAAGGGTGGCAAGACTTCATCTCATGTACTTCAGGTATGTTATCAGGAGCAACTAGTCCCTGCTTGGTAAAGTAGAGGGTCGGCAAAAATAAAAAGGAAGGCCCTCAACAAGCTGTACTGCCACAGTAGCATCAACAATGGGTTCAAACACAACAACTGTGAGGATGGCACAGGACCGTGCAGTATTTTGTTCTATTGTACAAGGGGTGGCTACGAATGGAAACTGACTCGACGAGATCTAACAGCAACAACAATAACAAATATCCCAAGTACATTTCCACCTCAGAAGCCATAGGGTTCCTAGTTCCTCTGCTAGGGACTCTCTTCCCCCTGCATCTTTCACAGGGCTCCCTCCTTCTCATCACTGAGGTTCCTGCTCAAACATCACCCCTTTAGAGAGGCCTTCCCTGGCCACTCCCCTTTATCACTCTCAGTCCTGCCACTGTTTTATGTTCTTTATCTTTGCCAATGATGTACTGCATTGGGCAAATCTGCCACACAGGACCTTTTTACAGTGTTGAAGAGCAAAGATGTCAGTCAATTTGAGGACTAAGGTGCGCCTGACCCAAGTTATGGTATTTTCAATAACCTCATATGCATGTGAAAGTTGGACAGTGAATAAGGAAGACCATAGAATTGATGCTTTTGAGTTATGGTGTTGGAGGAGAATATTGAAAGTGCCACAGACTGTCAAAAGAACAAACAGATCTGTATTGGAAGAAGTACAGCCAGAATGCTCCTTAGACACCAAGCTGGCAAGACTTCGCCTCTCATACTTTGGACATATTGTTAGGAGGAACCAGTCCCCTGGAGAAGGATATCATGTTTGATAAAGTAAAGGGTTAGAGAAAAAGAGGAATACTTCCAACAAGATGGATTGGCACAGTGGCAGCATCAATGGGTTCAAACGTAGCAACAATTGTGAGATCGCTGCAGGACCAGGCAGTGTTTTGTTCTGTTATGTACAGGGTCGCTATGAGTCAGTACTGACTCGATGGTACTGACTTGATGGCACCTAACAATAACCTTAAGGAGCTCTGGTAGCGTAGTGGTTACGAATCGGGCTGCGAACCTTAAGGTCAGCGGTTCGAAACTACCAGCTGCTCCGCGGGAGAAAGATGAGGCTTTCTACTCCCGTAAAGATTTACACCCTCGGAAACCCTGTACAGGGTCGCTATGGGTCAGACCCGACTCGACGGCACTTAACAACAACAACAACAACAATAACCTTAGTCACCACCACTTGATGGTGTCTTCTTTGCTTAGGTAGTTTGGGCCTTTTACCCCCCTCCCCAGTAATGCTTGATAAAGACAGGGATTGCTGAGTATTAGCTCACACTGCGCCCCAATGCAGAGCATAAGACCTACCATACAACAGGCACTCAGTAAATCCTTGTTGGACTCACGAATGAACGTAGGCATTAATTTTCCTTCTCCCTATGGAGCTGTTCCTATAAAAGCCCCCTCATCAATTTACTCAGAGTTTACTGAGACTAAGCCCTAAACGTGTCCTATTCTTCCCATTCCCCAAAATAAGTCAAACTGAGTTACCAATGATGACACCAACTTCACAGTAGGGGTCGTCGTAGGCGCACGTCATCATGGTCGCCACAGTGTCATTGACCACGGTCACGATGTCCACATCCATGTCCTGCCAGAACACAAGTTCCAGGGAGCATCAGTGGGTGGGACCGCAGAGGAAGTAAAAGCAGTGACAGACATTGATTCTGACAATAACTAGATGCTACCCACTGGGCCTACCTGGAGGAAACAAGATCTTTTTTAAGGGTGGAGTGCTCTCACAACCATGGCACGGTCTAGAAGAGAAATGAACCAACTAGGGGCTGAAGCTCATCTGCCTGTGTTTTTATGCCTCTCTGCAATGGAAATATGAGGGACAGAATTTCAGGACTCCAGCCCCTTGTTTGGGGGACCCTGGGACACCACCAAAGGAAACACTTTTAATCTGAGCACAATGGCCCTTCCAGGGCCTCTAAAACAGCAAATACAGCCCCAGTCAAATCCTCTAGAGGGCAGCAACAAGGGATTCCTATCTGGGTTTCCTCCTTATGAGACAACTAGTTACTACTGTACTAAGCTTCATGTTGGGAGAGCAGTGTTGAATAAAATGAAAACAGTGAGGGTGAAAAGCAGGTTACGCATGAATACAAATCCAGTTTGAAAAAGGAAAAAAAAACTGAAGGTTACACACCAAAGCATTCTTCCTTCTGCCAGGGTAACAGGCAATTTGAGTTTATTTTGTGTGCTTTTCACATATTCAAGGAGTATGTCTTGTTTTTGCAATTACTTAGATTATTTTAAAACATGCTACATGAAGAGAGAGTGGGGGTGATACTGGGAACAAAGTAGTCTTGTAAAGCTCTAAGAGGAGAGGAGGGAGGTGTGGAGGGGACTGAGGTGGGCTGGGGAGACCTGGGAAGCTCAGGGCCACCTCTCAAAGACCAACCAGTGTTTGAACAAGCCCCACATACCAAGACTCATTTGGTAAATTTATCCAAACTGGCCTTGTCTGTCCTGTAGTGAGACCTTCTCTATGGCAACTCTACTGTTCTTCCAGGGCAGGCCCAGTAAAAACCCCATCAAGTGACAGATAGAGACTAGGAGAAGGATAACTCCCCAGGCCTTGGTGGATCCTCACCGGGTATTTTTTCATGGCTTTACTCAGACGACTCACTACATCTGTGTTTAGAACTCCTTGCTTCTTAAACTTCTTGGTCCACGACAACAGGAATCCCTGTGGGAAGATGTCAGAACAACTTAAAATGAAGGAGGCTCTCGGATGTGAATACTATCGCTGCCAGGGAGTCCTGGGGTGGGGCTGTAGAATAAGCACTGGATTGCAAGTTTTGTTTGAACAGCAAGATCAGTGGTTCAAATTTACCAATCGCTCCTCGGAAACCCTATGCAATCGCTATGAGTCAGGACCCGGGTATTTAACAACAACAACATGCCTGTGGCTATAAGCCCACTCTGGAATGGGTTGCCTTTGTTATGGTAATGAGACAGAATTAATATAGGGTGTGTCATGAGTACATTTTTTTTCTCTTATACAGAAATGCCATGTCACATGAAGATCAACCAGGAGCAAATATCAAAGAGCAAAAGATCTTCCTCAATGGCCAACAGAGACTGAAAGCCTTCCCAGAGAGGTTGCTGTTGTTGTTGTTAAGTGCCGATGAGTTGGTTCCAACCCCTAGCAACCCCGTATAGGGTTTCCAAGGAGTTGCTCGTGAGTTTGAACCACCGACCTTGCAGTTCAAACTTACCTTGTAGTCCAGTGCATTATCCCTCAGTGCCACACCAGAAGACACCCTGAATTCAGCCTTCTAGCCTCCTAAGCTGTGAGGAAATAGATGTCTGTTAAAGCCACCCCTTTAGGTGCTAGAACTTGCCCAGTGAAAATGGCTTCCTGTAGAGCCTTTGTAGTGTATAAGACCTTAGGTGGAATCCTGATCCCCATCCAGAACTTTCCAAGGTGGGAAATTTCCACTTGAAAAGACAAGCAGACCAGCCTGGAGCAGCTAGAGAGGAACAGAAGATACTTCTTGTAAAAAAGACCAGCAGGAAAAATGGAAAACAACAATGTAGTCTGAATGACTACCACAAGAACAAGCAAGTTGTCCACAAGGCAAGCAGTCAAATCCCTTCAGGGCAAATCCCCTTTCAAGACTGAAATTCAAAGGGAATACAAGAGTAGGCATATAATCTTGCTGGTGACCACATTGGTCTACTGATGAGGGGAAGTGAGGGAAAAGCAACAATGAAGATGTGGGCTGAGTCCAACAATGTTACATAGACTCCCATAAACCTGGAGTATGGTGAGACCTGCTGGCCAGCAGTACGGTGAGTCCTGGAGACTCCTAAGCCCACAGACAGGGATATAGGCACAGAGGGCTAGAGTAGAGAGTGAAGCGTCCAGATGATATGAAGTAAGAGGAGATGCACAAAAATGCTCATAGTACCCATTTGACCTGCTTCAATGGCTGGATGATTGGAACTCAACTAGAAGAAGAAAGAAAAGAAGGGGAAAAAAATTGAAAAAAAATTTTTTTCTTTGAAGGAGTTCTGGTAGCGTAGTGGTTACGAATTGGGCTGTGAACCACAAGGTAAGCAGTTCGAAACTACCAGCTGTTCTGTGGGAGAAAGATGAGGCGTTCTGCTCCCGTAAAGATTTACAGCCTTGGAAACCCTGTACAGGGTCACTATGAGTCGGAACCGACTCCACGGCACATAACAACAACAACAAAGAAAACAAGTGTAATTTGCTACAATTTCATGAACTTAACCTATACTTATGGATATAGTAGCTCAAAATACCAACCAAGAGGAAGGAATCTTCACAGCAAGGATCATTCCCATCCCCTCTGTACACAGGGTTGATAGGGATGGGCAACTTAGACAATAGCTACCTAAAATTGGGGGTGGGTTGAGGTGGGGAGGAGGGAGCATAAAGGCACGAAGTGACTGGCTTACAAGTTTTCAAGAGGGAGTTTAGTTACAGAGGGTGCAGGTAAAGACAGAATCTCCACTGAGTGGTTTTCAACCTATCTTGACAGGGCTGGTGAAAGGAGATGGGGATAAGATTCTTGTGGTTCAATAGTAAGTAATTGTTATCATGACTGTGATTGTTGCAACTGTAAAGGTAGACATTTTGTAGCAAAAAGAGGGGAGTGGATGATCTTGCAGTCCAAGAGCAGAGGACCCTGGGACCATAAAGGAAGAAGAGCAGGAGCGGAGTGTGGAACCCTATCCAGAGAAGCAACAACGCCAGAGATGGAGACAGAGACTATGACATGGAGAGACTGAATGGCTGGGGACTCTAGACTCCTGGAGGGAGAGAGGCTGTGTGCTGGCAGGGGGTGGGGGTGGGGTGGGAGGAGCAGGCTTGCAATGATTGCATAGGTATGTATCTACAAAAACCCAAAAAACCAGAGGGAATAGAAGCAAATACTGTTGAATGATGATGCATTGAGGGGATTGTAATCAATGCAATGAAATGAAATACGATAGGATGAGGGTAAAGCTGATGTTCTCCCATGTAAACTAACCTTCAATTCACAATAAAAACTTGAAGGAAAAAAATGTAGTTATCACCTCCATGATGAGAACTAATATAATACCACGATATGATGTGATGTGATCAGATTAACCCGGATAGGATGTAGTTATCCCATGTGGTGCAGATCCGCACTTCTATGATATTAACGAGGCTGGATGCAATCTACAGCATTAGGTTGTATATTGAGTCAATCTCTTTTGAGTATAAAAAGGAGAGAGAAGTGAAGTGAGCAGTCTGAAGAGTCTGGAGTGGAGTGTGTCCTTTGGAAGTGGAATACCTGCCCTTAGAAACTCTTAGATCCAGAGGGAGATTGATGCCAACACACAAGGAGAACTGCAAAGAATGCCAGGCCTACTGATGCTGAAAGGAGACAGGGCCCTTCTCCAGAGCCGGTGCTCTGAATTCAGACTTCTAGTCTCCTAATCTGTGAGAGAATACATTTCTATTTGTTAAAGTAAAAAACAAAACAAAACAAACCCTTTATGGTATTTGGTGATAGCAGCACTAGAGTGCTAAGACAGCATGTCTCCTGCATGGAAGGTAAGCGTGTTACCACAGAACCACAAGCGCCCCAAGTGAATGTCAGCTGCAGGAATTTCATAAAGTGCATACCCTGTGGTCTTCCCTAAACGAATCACCACAATTTTCAGCATTTTCCAGAAGTCTTTAGAACATATATGAGTGGCTTCAAAGTACAGTTGACTGTGATGATGTAAATAGAGTAAAGTCTTCGGGACTTTCATTTGCTGATGAGGCACAATTAAAAATGAAGAAAAACAGCTGTAAACATCTATTAATATTTAGGACATGGAATGTACAAAGTGTGAATCAAGGAAAATTGGAAGTTGTCAAAAATGAAATGGAATGCATAAACATTGATATCCTAGGAATTAATAAGCTGAAATGGACTAGCATTGGCCATTTTGAATCTGACAATCACATGGTTTACTGTGCCAGGAAACACAAATTGAGGAAGAATGGCATTGCATTCATCGTCAAAAAGAGCATATCAAGATCTGTCTTGATATACAACACTGTCTGTGATAAGACAATATTAATATGCCTACAAGAAAGATTAGTTAGTACCACTATTATTCAAATTTAGACACCAACTACTAAAGCCAGTGATGATGAAATTAAAGAATTCTACCAATTTGTTGTTGTTGTTGTTAAGTGCCGTCGAGTCGGTTCCGACCCATAGCGACCCTGTACAGGGTTTCCGAGGGTGTAAATCTTTACGGGAGTAGAAAGCCTCATCTTTCTCCCGCGGAGCAGCTGGTAGTTTCGAACCGCTGACCTTAAGGTTCGCAGCCGGATTCGTAACCACTACGCTACCAGAGCTCCTTCTACCAATTTGGTCCATCTGAAATTGATCAAACATGCAATCAAGATGTACTGATAATTACTGGCAACTGGAATGCAAAGGTTGGAAACAAAGAGTAAGGATTAGTAGTTGGAAAATATGGCCTTGGTGATAGAAATGATGCTGGAGATGGCATGATAAAATTTTGCAAATTGTATTTTTTTCTCCATTGCAAATACCTTTTTTAAACAACATAAAAGATGACTATACACATGGACCTCACCAGATGGAATACATAAAAATCAAATGGACTACATCTGTGCAAACAGACAGTGGAAAAGCTCCAAATCACCAGCCAGAACAGACCATCAACTGATCACATGCAAATTCAGGCTGAAGCTGAAGAAAATTAAAACAAGTCCATAAGAGCCGAAACATGACCTTGAACATATCCTACTTGAATTTAGAGATCATCTGAAGAACAGATTTGATGCATTAGACACTAGAGACCAAAGACCAAAAGAGTTGTGGGATGACATCAAGAACATTATACAGGAAGAAAGCAAAAGGTCATTAAGAAGACAAGAAAGCAGGAAAAGACCAAAATGGATGTCAGAAGAGACACTGAAACTTGCTCTCCAGCATAGAGATGCTAAAGCAAATGGAAGAAATGAGAGGTAAAAGAGCCAAATAGAATATTTCAAAGGTCAGCTTGAGAAGACAAAGTCAAATATTACAATGAAATGTGCAAAGACCTGGAATTAGAAAACCAAAAGGTAAGAACATGCTCAGCATTTCTCAAGCTGAGAAAACTGAAGAAAAACTTCAAGCCTTAGATTGCAATATTGAAGGATTTTATGGGCAAAATATTGAATGATGCAGAAAGCATCAAAAGAAGATGGAAAGAATACATACACAGAGTCGGTGTATCAAAAATAAATGGGCAATGTTTAACCATTTCAAGAGGTAGCATATGATCAAGAGCCAAGGATACTGAAGGAAGAAGTCCAAGGTGCATTGAAGGCATTAGCTCATGCAAATGGATGAAATACAAATTGAAATCTTTGAACAAACGGATGCAGCACTATAGAGACACTCACTCATCTGTGCCAAGAAATCCAAAAGACAACTACCTGGCCAAATGACTAGAAGAGATCCATATTTGTGCCCATTCCAAAGAGAGGCGACCCAACAGAATGTGGAAATCATTGGACAATAAATAAATAATATTACATGCAAGTAAAATTTTGCTAAAAATTACTCAAAAATGGCTGCAACCATACATTGACAGAGAACTTCCACTGGTTCAAGCAAGATTCAGAAGAGGATGTGGAACGAGAGATATTATTGGTGACATCAGATAGATCTTGACTGAAAGCAGAGAATACCAGAAAGATGTTTACCTGTGTTTTATTGACTACACAAAGGCCTTCAATTGTGTGGATCATGACAAGCTATGGGCAACATTGTGGAGAATGAGTATTCCAGAACACTTACTTGTGCTCATGAGAAACCTGTACGTATTTCAAGAGGCAGCTGTTCAAAAAGAACAACAGAACACCGAACCGTTTAAAAATTAGGAAAGGTATGCACCAGGGTTGTATTCTTCCATCATATTTATTCAATCTTTATGCTGAGCAAATAATCCAAGATGCTGGATTTTATGAAGAAAAACATGGCATCAGGATTGGAGAAATACTCATTAACAACCTGTGATACACAGATGATACAGCCTTGCTTGCTGAAAGCGAAGAGGACTTAAAATACTTACTGATGAAGATCAGAGGCTACATCTTTCGGTATGGGTTGAATATCGATGTAAAGAAAACAACAATCCTTACCACTGGACCAATTAACAACATCCGTATAAATGGAGAAAACAATGAAGTTGTCAAAGACTTCATTTTGCTTGGATCCACAATCAACACTAATGGAAGCAGCATTCCAAGAAATCAAGTGACATATTGCATTAGGCAAATCTGCTGCACAAGACCTCTTTAAAGTGTTGAAGAGCAAAGATGTCAGTCTGAGGACTCAGTTGAGCCTGACCCAAGCCATGGTATTTTTAATAACCTCATATGCATGTGTAAATTGGACAGTGAATAAGGAAGACAGTAGAAGACTTTCTGTATTTGAGTTGCGGTGTTGGAGGAGAATATTAAAAGTACTATGGACTGTCAAAAGAACAAACCAATCTGTATTGGATGAAGTACAACCAGAGTGCTCCTTGGGAGCCAGCATGGTCAGACTTTGTTTGTTATAATTCAGACATATTACCAGGAGGGACCAGTCCTTGTAGAAAGGTTATCATGTTTATTAAAGTGGAGAGTCAGAGAAAAAGAGGAAGAACGCCAGTGGGATGGACTGGCTCAGTGGCAGCAACAATGGGCTCAAACATAGCAATGATTGTGAGGTTGGCACAGTGTTTTGTTCTGTTGTATATAGGGTCGCTATGAGTTGGTACTGACTCGATGGCACCCAACATGAAGAAGAAGGGATTTCCATGTACACCAAGGTTTGAGAACCACTGAATTATTGGCTCCCTTGAGCTGTGGCCATGCTAAATATAAAATCAAGATACTTGGGTTAACAAGTTCTCTGCCTTACATTTCTAACTTATCATTGAAAATAAGAAAACAAGCTCTTGCTGGGCACTTTGGGTGCTCCTGTTCCCAACTCCTCCCACACAAACCCAAATCTTCCAACCCCAGATCTCAAATCCTACACAGCCCCGCACCCCATCTCCAAGCGCCCACCAGCCTACCTCATCCAGCTTAGTCTGTCTGCAGGGAAACGAAAAGGTAAAACCAAGGGGCAATTTCTTATTCTTCAAATCTTTAGCCTTCATAAAATCATGAAGACATTCAGCTATGAATTCAAACAGCTGTGGAGAAGAGAAGGCAGAGGAACTGGAATGAAGCGTGGATTGTCATCATCATGATGCCAAGGGCTCCCCCTCCCCAGGAGCTGCCTGGCTGAGTACCTCAGAGCCATTCCCTCGAGTAATTTCATCCGTCATCGGGTAGAACTGACTCTCCATGTGGACATTTCGCTTCCCCTCTCCAGAAACTTGCACCTTCTGTATTCGAAACTTGGATCCTCCAAGATCCAGGGAAAGAAACTCTCCATTTTCTATTTTAAAAAATTTTAAAAAGGACCATTAATTGTGATTTACTATATGGTGTGTTCTGGTGTGACGCTGTAGGATAACCCAGAAGCCCCAACTCGGGAACCCTAAACAGGGTCTCTATGAGTCAAAACTGACTTGATGGCACTTAATAACAACAACAACACATGGCAAACTGTGCTTTAGCAGTTCATTGCATAATAATCAGTTGCCCTCAAGTTGACTCTGACTCATGTGTGTCAAAGTAGAAGCATACTCCATAGGGTTTTCAATTTTTTGGAAGTACATCACCAAGTCTTTATTCTGAGAAACTTCTGGATGAATTCAAACTTTTAGCCTTTTAGTTAGCAACTGAACACATGAACCATTGGGCACACACTGAATGACTTTAAATCTCAAAATCACCCTGTAAGCTTGGTGCCATTACCCCATTTTCTGAGGCTCAATGAAGTTGTTGTTCTTAAGTGCTGTACAGTTGCTTCTGACTCATAGGGGGCCTGCATGTGGTTTCCAAAACTTTTAAAACCTTCATGGTGGGCTCGAACCGTGGACCTTGGGGTTCGCAGTGGTCATTTATCCAAGCCCTTACAATAAAGGACAGAGCTGAGGTGTGAATCCAAGTCCGTCTGGGCCCTTCTACTGGATCATGCTATAGGGCAAGAATGTATTCATTTGGAGAACCCAATGCCTGCAGGTGGTGTGGGAAATGGGTCTTGAGGATGGGCAGACTTTGACACAGAAAAGAGAAGAAAGATGTTCCCAGCATGGGGGAAATATGAATAGGGGCATGGATGAGAAGGCAGAAGGGTGTGCCAGGGAGAGACACCACCCCCATACATAGCTCATTCTGATAGGAGGGGAGGCAGGGACCAAATGATGATTCAGGAAGAGAAATCCCTGCCCAAAGGAACAAGGGGCAAGAGAGGGCATGGGGGTCTGTGCTTTTCAGAACGGAGGGAGGCTGAGACAGAAATGGGGCTAAACGGTATTCTCTGGTTAAGTTAGGAAGGATCAAGAAAGAACAACCCCCCCCACCCCCTGCCCAGGAGCATAAACTTTATCCAGGTGAGTGGAAGACACAGAGAGATTTTTTCCCCAAATGGGAAAAGTCCCACTGGACCAACCAGGAATGAAGTGGAGGGTTTCAAAGCCAAAGAGGGGACACACTCAGGTCAGGTGCAGCGTCTCTATGGAGAAGTTCCTTCCTCCAGCTGCCAGCACCACCATCACTGTGCAAAACTCTCCCTCCCCCAGGAACTCTGATGCTATTTTATGGGTATCACGTGGTGCAACCCCTTCAGTGACTCCAAGCCCAGAGCAAGGACTCACTGGACCCAGGGAAGCAAGGGGCTTCCAGACAGGAGGGCCACTGACCCCAGAGAAAGGACTCACTGGACCCAGAAAAGAGGGGTTTTCCAGACAAAAGGAGGTCCTCAGAATTTTTAAAGCAATTGTTAGGAAAATGATCTCCCAGAAGGGTGAGTCATCAGCTGGTCCAGGGCTTACCCAGAGCTCCAGCTGGGGTTGGAACTATAAAACCCTAACTAGTCACCTTCATAATCATTCCTGTCCCTGTTTCCCTCCACGATTGGTAAAGGAGAAGACACAAACCATTGTCCACCTCTTTTAAGACACCTGACCCTAATTAAATGGGGCAGGGGGGGTAGTTCCGTGGTAGAATTCTTCCATGTGGGAGGAGACGTGCGTCTGATTCCTGGCCTGTGCACCTTAAACTCAGCCACCACATCTTACAGTGGAGGCTTATATGTTGCTATGATGCTGAACAAGTTTCTGTGGAACTTCCAGACTAACATGGACTAGGAAAAAGGCCTGGGGATTGTACTTTGGAAAATCAGCTAGTGAAAACCCTATGGATCCCAGACTGCAGGAAAGTATAGGAGACTATAGCCCTTGACCACCCTTCAGGTATGTAGAGGAACACCTCATGGCTCAGTTTTCAGCCATGCAGTACATAGGTTCTTAGGGGAGCAACAACACTAGTGAGGTACACTCTCCTTGGAATGGGCCATCATTCAAAATCAAAAGGGTAACATTTTCCTAAAGGCATGTTGAGAAGGGATAGGAAGGTGGGTGGACTGCAAATAAAAACCACAGGGGAGAAGCAGGGTAAATGTTGTTACAGGGAGGGGATTGTAAATATAGAAATGAAACAAAGTGCATGATTGGTTGAATGCAAAGCTGCTGATCTTGTCTGCAAACCTTCATTCAATTTACAAAAAAAAGTTAAAATTAAATAAACCGTATGAATCACAGCCACCCAATCTGCAACGAACCACAAGGCTGATGGGAACTGGCAACATTTCCTTCTGTTGTGCATGAGGTTGCTGTAACTAACCACAGGAATCTAGCTGAAAACTGTCATAGATCCTGTCTTAAAAGGCTGGGAACAACTCAGGCTCAAACATGTTACTCACACTCAGGTAAATTCAGATAACAGAAGAGAAATTAAAGAGGACAGTGAACTCAGAGGATTTCTCTGAAGACTCTGAGTACATTTCTGGAATGGAAGCCTGGGTGGCACTTAACAACCACCACCACCACCACCACAGCATGCTTCATTTCACCACTCACTGTCCATAATGGAGAATCTAATGCCTACAAGTGAAATGGCAGTGATTATTTATTCAACAACTATTCGGGGTCCTAGTATGCCTCAGATACTATATGAGGTGCACAGAAGACTCAGGAAAACAAGACATAGGCCTGTCTTCATAGAGCAACTGGGTGACAATGCTGACAAGTGTCTAGCCCAGTATGACAATGCTTTCCAGATGGAGGCACTAATCTCTGCATTGGATAGGAAAGCTAAGTTGGTGTTCACCAGGGGAAAACTGCTCCAGAAGGAGAGGAAACAATGTGTGAGGCCAAAGGGGGCAGAGAGTAAGCAAGGTGCATTTGTTTGTAGAACCCAGAGGTTTTCTACACTGCTACAGCAGGTTCGGGGAGAGTGGGGAGGGGAATGTGGAGAGAAGACTGAAGAGGTCATCAAGGGTCTGGGAGAAAACTTTAGGGAACTGTAGGGATCAAGAGGAATCTTCAGGGATCAGATCTCACTCACCGGAGCCATCTGGAATGGCCCTGACAAAGGTGGGCAACATCTTCACTGAGGCTGTGGGGTTGGTGTCCTGCCCCAGACCCTTCTTCATCTCAGCATGGAACTTCTTCATAATGTCCAAAAGTGTCTCATCCGAGAGCCTCATGTGATACAGGAATCTGTCCACCTGTAACAGACACAGGGGCAGCCAGTGGGGGTTATGGGGCATTGCCCTCAGTTGAGACCCTAACCCCTCACCCTGCCCTATCACAAAGCTATGCCGTGTGGATTCCTGAGATCTAAGGCTTAGAGGTGATAAGTCTCATCAGGCAGAACTACTACTGTTAGGTGGCACAACTGGAACTGTAACACACTCTCTAGATTCCCAAGGACAAGTTGGGGTAGAACAGAATGGGCAGCTGTTGAGGTGGAAATTTATGGCCTCCTTTTGAGTATAAAAGGAGTCCTGGTGGGTTAGGGATTGGGCTGCTAACTGCAAGGTCGGCGATTCAAACCCACCAGCCACTCCATGGGAGAAAGATGAGGTTGTCTGCTCCCATGAAGATTTCCAGCATTACAAATTCTAAGAAGTGGTTCTATTTCATCCTATAGGGTCGCTACGAGTCAAAATTGGACTGAATGCCAGTGGGTTTTCTGGAGTATTGCTTGGAGGAAGAAATGATTCCTCCTTTTCCTGATGGAACAATGTGTCACTGGAGAGGCAGAACCTAAGGAGGATTCAAGGTACCTAATTCTTTGTTCAGGCTTCCAACATCATCACCACCAGAAAAAAATTAAATATATCGTGACTCTTAAATTCCTAAATGTGGAAAGTCTCTTTTGTCAGACGATGAAAATATGTACCCAAACATGTTCCCCTGAGTTCAATGACTGCTAGAAAACTCAGAGCTAAATTAATTTTCCAACTGCAATCTCTGAAATCTAGTTCTTTAGATTTTCATTCTGTTTTTAACTGAGATTGCTTGAATTTAGGTGAAGTTTAATATTGAAAGCCAGGTCAAGTTGCTAATGGAAATGAACAGATGTCACTCAAATAAAGTCACCAAAAAATTAGGGTGAATGACCACAATGCTCCAGTGGAGAGAAATTACAACAAACAATATGACTTGGTTCACATGAAGGCGAAGTCACATAAAAAGTTGCCCCCCTAATGTTAATGCTGACCAGCTGGTGTTGGTAGCCTGGATGATGAATGGGGGCAGAGGAGCGGAAGTGGCACATGGGCTATGTACTTGCCTCTCTGCTTTCTGTTTGCTGAGAGTCACCTCACAAGGCACATCCCTGAGGAAAGTGCACTCCCACATTTGTCTAAGGTTAGGAACACAGGCTGCTATCAACAGCTTTCATGTATGTCAACATTCCCTTGAGACAGCCTGGCAAGGTTAAAATTATTGTCCCTGATTTAAAGATGAGAGTCCCTGGGTGATACAAATGGTCAATGCAGTAATCTGCTAACGAAAGGTTGGAGGTTCAAATCCACTCCGAGGAGTCTTGGAAGAAAGGCATGCAATCTACTTCTGAAACAATCAGCTATTGAAAACTTTATAGAACACTGTTGTACTTTGAAACTTACGGGGCCATCTTGTGCTAGAGTCGACCTGATGGCAACTAGTTGGTTGATTTGGCGGCACTGGATTGCTAACTGCATGGACAGCAGTTCAAATCCACCAGTCACCCCGTGAGAGAAAGATGAGGCTCTCTGCTCCCTGCGAAGATTTTGAGTCTTGTAAACCCTATATAAGGTTGCTGTGTATCGGAATCGATTTGATGGCAGTGTTTTTTTTGGTTGGTTTCTTTCAAGGTGAGGGATCTAAGGCTCAGAGATGGTGTCATGAGGTAGAGCTGCTGTTACATGGCAGGACTGGGACTGTAACACAGTCTCTAGACTCTTTGCCCCTGCAGCCTGGTTTTGGTCCATGGTTCCATGTGACATTCACAAGTCAAATAGACAAACTACATCAAAAGTGCAGTCGTCACATAACTCTTATCATAAGACAGATGCCCAGCCATGACTCAGGCCTCAAAGGCTAAGGTATCCAGGTATCCAGGTGAGTCGGGGACCAATTCATAGACTAGAACCAGAGAAATGGTACACATGTCAGAGACTGAAAAGCCAGAGCAAACCCATCAGAAAGCAATGAACAAGAAGCCATTAACAATCGGGCTTTGGACAGACTGGAGAAGACAGGGTGTAGTCAGACCATGCTGCCTTACAAACCTCCTGACCATGCAGAAGCTGCTTCTGACTGTAGTAATTGGCTAGTACAGCCACACACAAATTGAGAAAATCACATGAAAGGACATGACCCAAGTATTGTAAGCAGGGAAGAGCAGGATGCCCTACATGGGAACAGAATTGATCCTGCATCACCTCAAAATTCCTCAGACAGTGTTTAGGAACTGAACAGATATAGTTTCTCCTAAATCATCCCTTTGTATCTAAGTAAAGGTTTTGAGACCCTGTGTGGGCTGTTTGTGAGCTTCAGTTTAACAGTTATTCAGACCTTGGGTTACTGCTGCTGTTTCAATAAGCTGAAGTTATGACAGAATGAATGTCAATTTAGCAACAGTTTTTGTTGTTTTTTTCGTATTTTCCACAGCACTTCCTACAACAGCTAGAAAGGAAGAGTGAATCAGATGTTGGGTGTGGAAAAAATGCTATATTTTCAATCCAAATAGGTGATTTGAGGTCTATGTACCCAGGGTCGCACACCCCAGGCACTAAGGAAAGAGGTCTATGTCACAGAAAACCAAGCGCACTTTGGGAATGAACTTAGACATTCTTCACAAATCATAGCATGATTTATGCTCTACAGAACAGGCATGTTTTACTTAGGAACCATAAATTCAAATTGAAGTTCAGAGCTGTTGATTTACAGAATGTGGGTGTTGGAAGGTGTCTTACAGATTACTTAGTCCAAAGTCTCGTATTATGAACCAAGAGTCATAAAAAAGTTCAACTCTTTGACCAAGCAATTTCACTTCTGGGAATCTAGCCTCAAAAATGAGTCCTAAATATGGAGAACATTAGTCACATATGATTTTTTTTTTAAAGCATAGCAATATTCTAATTGCAAAAAAATGTTTTCAGAAATAATCAAAATTTCCAACAAGAGGGCAAGGGTTAAATAAATTATGATATAGTCACTTGATTGAAGATTAGGAAGATGTAGTTAAAAAGATAACTATAAACATAATGTGGAAATGTAGAATACATGGTTATAATGTAATAAGAACTGCATGCATATTATAAATATAACTGCAAAAACATGCCATGGAAAACAACTACAAGGACTTCCACACAGCAAACGTGACAGTTTGTGAACGTGGCAGCGTTATAGAGAACATTTCCACTTTTCGTAATGTTGACTTACTAAACGGTGAAAAACAAACAAAACCCAACCCAATTTGAAAACCCAACCAGTCCTTCTCTTAAGAATGAACAATCTGCAGGTCAATGACCTGTCCTGACCCAAGGCTGTCAATAGGTCAAATAATGTCAATATATTGAACTAGAAAGGAAACGGAGTGGTGTCTCTTTTCTTTTCTTCCTTCCTTTTGTTTTTGTTTTAATATAGTATGGGATACTTTTAAAAATTAATCCAGGTTGAAAGCAAATATGGCCTGGGATCCTGACAACTCTAGAAGCAGGAAGCCCAGAAACCAAGTAGGGAACTGGCTACCTGGCCCATGCCTTTTGACCGGGTGTGTTTTCACCAAGTAGATGAATGAATGAAAGTAGTGTTCTCAGAACTAGTGAGTCATCTCAGCAAACCCACAAATCAGCCTCCTACTTATCCCGGAGCTTAGTTGGAACACCTGCTTAAGGTGGGTCAGTTCACACCTACCAAGTGTGGGCGGGGCTGGGGAGGATGGGCATCAGCTTAAAGCACTGACAAAAGCTGACCCCTTTCCACCCCAGGTGGCTGTGTTCCCAAAGTGAACAGTTACATGGCTGGTGAACAAACATGTTCCACCTGATTATCAAAAGGTTAACCACCACAAAGGGGCCAAAGGAAAGTGAATGAGTCTGCAGAACCAAGGGTATCAGGGTTTTAAATACTCTTCCTTGAGGACTGGAGATACAACAGGTAAGTTAGTATCTTTCTTGAAGGAGAAAATAAGACAAAGTTCAATGTTGTAGAAAGCTTTTCACCTTTAAGCAGCCCATAGACGATCCTGTAAATCTAATCAACAAATGAAAATAAAGACAGATCCAATCTGATTATTTTTTAATTTCCTGAAACTTCTAACCAAACTCTCTTACTAACAGAATTTCCTGGACTTGGTCCCATCAAACTCTTGAGGGTGGTAAAAGACCAGGTTTCCTCTCTCAAATTGAAAATCTAGAGACATCAGTGCACATTGGAAAGGAAGTAAGTCTAGCAGGAAGTGAGTTTGATCCGTTGGCTCCCTTAAATACCTGAGTGACCTTGTCTAAGTCCTCTTCCAGGAGGATTTCTGTTATCTGTAAACTGAGAGATGCTATGTGCCCAGGGCTCTGCTGCTGGCAGCCAGCCAGTGAGGCCTCAGTGGCAGACCTGGCACTTTTCAGGCTGTGGGAGAGAGTTCTGGTACGTCTCCAGCATAGCCCTGGCTAGTCTTTAACTATCCCACCTTGAAACAGATTTTGGAGACAGGCTTCCTGGGCAAACAAGGAACACCATTCATTAAATATCATTGGCAGCTACCAAAACTAAAAAACAAACCCAGTGTTACAGAGTAGAACTGTGCTTCCTACTACATAGGGATTTCCTGGCTGCAGGCTTTACAGAAGCAGATCACCCAGCCTCTCTTCGCTAGTGCTGCTGGGTGGGTTCCGACTGGTTACTTTTAGGTTAGTTGTTAAGTGCAAGCCATCTGTGCCACCCAGGTTCAATAGCACACAGCACTGCCAAAGATAAATATTTCAATTATTATGTGTTCAAACTCAAATCCCTCTTGGTCCCTGTATTTGTAGTCTTTCAAACACATGAAGAATCAGATCTGCTTCAAAAGTCCTTAAAATTTCTTTAACTATGACTCTCATCTTCTTTGTAGCCTTTCCTGCTGCAAATATTCCTTACATTACATCAAACAACCCTCTTCTAGCTTCCTAAAGACCTTCTCCATACCCCTTCAGAGTCGGAGGTCTGCCAGGAGGCCCTGCGGGAAATGCAAGGTTCAGGATTGTAACGTGATGTCCAGTGGTGTGGGAGACTTACTTCCTCTTCCCCTCTATGAGGTTTGCACTGGACACATGTTTCCTAAAGATTATGTAATAAGCTCTCTAAAATCCTTTTTGATATAGGCAGGGTGTCAGATCTGTCAATGAAGAAAGAACCAGGCATCCCTCGGTCCTTACCTTATCAATCTGGTCTTCCTTCAGCTTGGCAAAGAACAATGCTGTCAAGTGTACTGCAAACATTTTTCCTAAGTTTGTTTTTTCTGGAGATGAGTAAAAATTCCTGTGCAGCGTTTCCTCCCGGGTCTCAGGTGTGCCGCTCAAGTCCAATTCAGGCCGAGAGATCTCCTGGGACTCTAGGTCCTTTGGTTCAATGATTAAACTTCTCCTCCACTCTCTGGTCCCTCCCTCTACCATACTCTTGATAGTCTAATGGGAAGCTCTAGAGGTAGCTGAGGTTAGTGAGGGAAAGGCAGGGAACTGATGAGCTGCCTATCTATTTGAGAATCGGGGTGACACAAAATCTCACTGCTGAGCAACTCTCAAGCAAGTGCCCTCCCCTCAAGCCCCGTCTGCAGAGAAAACCTTATCTTTGAGAAGCTGGATACTAAACAAAGACAACTTTTAACTACTTGAGCTGCAAATTTGACTGCAAATTTCCAGTCTCTAGACTTTTCTTTTTAGTTCTAGGCTCCTCAAAACAGTGATATGATTGATTACTTGTCTCCCTGCCTCTGTGAAGCTCTGTCTTAATTATGACTAAATGTTGCCTCTGTCAGAGAAATTTCTAGAATTAAGACAAATTCCTTCTAATTTGTGACTCATCATATTTCTTAGCTAATAGCCCATCATAATAGAAAGACTCAATAAATGTATAGTATTTATAAGGAGCTCTAGTCACGCAGTGGTTAGGAATCAGCCTGCTTATCCTGAATGGTCAACAGTTCAAAACTACCAGCTATTCTGTGGGAGGAAGATGAGGCTTTCTGCTCCCGTAGATTTACAGCCTCGGAAACCCTGTACAGGGTCACTATGAGTCGGAACCGACTCCACAGCACATAACAACAACAACATTCATAAAGCTAAGCCAGAAAGCCTTTCACAGAAAAAAAAAAAAAGTATGAGAAAGAATGAATGGAAGTTACTAGCACTAGGAAGTTGCTACTGAAGAGAAAAATTGAAATTACAGAAGTTAACTGTCTCAGATACTGAGCTGTTTGGCTCATCACCTATCTTACACTTCATATTGGTGATGAGAAGGATCCAGAAAGGGGCCATGTACAGACTCAATAGATCTTGAGTTCTTCCCACAGGTATTGGTTGGCTAACAAAGTCAAAGCAACAACCACTATGTTAATAGCAGGGAGTGTGGTAGCTTTGTAAGATAAACACTGGACGCGGAATCACAAAGGTTCAAGCCCTCCAGCCACTCTGTAAGGAGAAAGATGAGGTTTCAGCTCCCATGAAGATCTGTAGCCACGGAAACCCAATGTTGTTGTTAAGTGCTGTTGAGTCGATTCTGACTCATAGCGAACCTGTACAGCATTTCTGAGGAATATTTAATAGATGTGAACCACTGTCCAGTGTTTATCATACAGAGTCACACCAGGAGTCCAACTATAAAAGTCGGAACCAACTTGAAGGCACAAAAGCAACATGGATCAAGCATTTAGTATTCCCATTTTATAGATGAGAAAACTGAGGCCTAGGAAAGTTGAATTACTCAAAAGTTTGTCAGTGATACAATGATGAATCAAATCCAGGAGTTTGATTCTAGGACCCAGCTCTTAACTAAGATACAGTATTGCCTCTCAAACACTTCTTTCTGCATGTGATAGGTATTCAGTTGATAACTACGAGGGTGAGTCCACAATTACACGCGTTCCAGTTATATTAAAATGCCTGTCTACAACCACAGCTGATGACAACAATGAGCGTGCACGTAAAATGATTCTGTCAAATGGACGAGTGACAGTGGATTACGTGGCAAATCATTTGCAAATCTGCCGTAGCTCTCTGCCTGTGTAATAATCCATGACAGACTTGAAAAATTTATGCGAGATAGGTACTGAAACAACTCACCAAGAGCATAAACAGAAGCATTTGAATATCTGCAAACAAAATTTGGACCGATCATCAAAGGAAAGTAGAAGTTTTTTAAAAGAAATTGTTACTGGTGATGAGACATGGATTCATCACTGTGAACCTGAGATTAACAGCAGAATATGGAATGGAAACATCCTCAATTGCCGATCAAGAAAAAGTTCAAAAGTCAACCCTCAGCTGGAAAATTGATGCTTACGGTTTTCTGGGATTCTCAAGGACCAGTATAGGAACACTATCAGGAACAAGGTTCAACAATCAACAGTGCTCGTTACAGGGAGATGCTCACTGGAGAGCTGAAGCCTAGACTTGTGCTAAATACAGAGGACTACTATCCAAGGGCATTGTGAGCTGACATGACCATGCACGTCCCCACACCTCTGCCTACTCTGCAGAAACTTCATTTTGAGGTGTTAAGCATTCTCCCTATTGTCCTCATCTTGCTCGATCAGACTTTCCGTTGCTGGGTTCCCTAAAGCAGCCCTTCGAGGATGAAGACTCACCTCTGATGAAGATGTGCAGACAGAGGTGCATTTGTGGCTCACAGCTCAGCCTAAACCTTTTTTCAATAAGGAAATATTAAAGTTTGTTGACTGATGGACAACATGTATTGAAAATCAAGGAGATTATGTCAAAAAAGAATTAGTCTTTTCTAAAAGTTGATTAAAATAAATTCTACAGAGTGCAGATAATTTTTGAGTCACCCTCATATTAGTAATAGCAGCATTCTGTTGTGTTATTATTAGGAATTCCAACTACTTAGAAAACTAAATACTGAAAACTAAATATCATTTCAATAGGGTCTTCATATGGTGGAAGAACGGCAAATGAAGAAATTCCTGACCATGACTTCCCAAACAGTAATTCAATGCTTCCTAAAATTAGCAACGGACAGATGCTTATGCATGTCTGGTGAGCTCCCCAATGTGTCTCATCCCTACATGGCACTTTCTCTTCAACATAAGGGATTTTGCCTGGTCAGTTAACAGCCTCAGGTGCTGTTTCCTTTTAGACTGCACAATCTCATTAATAAAATGATTATCCAGTGGTTGCCTGGTGACAGACCCTTTAACAGCAACCTCTTCAGAAACCACACCGACTCTCCAATCTGTGCTCTTGACCCATTATCATACGGATGAGTGGTCTTACATTGGGAGACTAGCTTCGGCACACCATGCAGGGGTTTGTTGTTGTTAAGTGCCTTTGAGTTGGTTTCAACTCACAGTGACCCTGTACAGGGTTTCCGAAGAGCAGCTGTTGGGTTTGAACTGCTGACCTTGCAGTTAGCAGTCCAGTGCTTATCCTACAGTGCCACACTGGAGGTACTTGATTAAAATTACTTTTGAGATTCTTTTCTTAGACTAACATAAAACTCTCCCAGATTGACAAACCTTATCCTTTTCAGTCTGTTATCCCTCCAACTTTGAACTGTCTTTTACTTCCTTTACTTTGTTTATGATACAAACAAAAAACAGCCAATCTTCAGTCCTAAAAACGCTTCAGTTCTCAAAACCATTCAGTCCCCAAATAATTTGGAATTGTTAGTATTCTCAAACAGGTGTTCTATTCACAAATCTGGAGTTACCTGGCTACTAATCAATATGCAAAGCGGTTCAAGTCCACCCAGAATCACCTCAGAAGAAAGGCCTGGCCATTGATCTCCAGGAAATCTGGCACTGAAAGTCCTGTGAAGCACAGCTCTACTCTGGCACACACGGTATCATCATGAATCAGATTCAACTCAACAGCAACCGTTTTATTCTCGAATCTACACTAGCGAAGGAGAATGTGTTGGGGCAAGTGGCCTGTCCTAGGGTTATAATGTTACTTGTTTTAATTCACCCATTAACAAGTATCCTCTGATGCTGTATGGCACCAACAGTCATTAGTTTATTCAACATAAGGATAAGAGTTAGCAGTGGACTGTCTCTGCTATCCCACAATGGCGTTTGTGTGTGTGCCAGAAAGGCAGTCTTTGGAATTTTAACCAGGCAAATGACGCCAGGAGCTTCATCTGCTTCATTGTTGCATTTTTCATCTAAGTATATCCGCAGCTACGTTCACTCTATCCCAGGTCTGAGTTCTCGGATTAAATCTGAAGTCTAATGATGATCAAGATTTCATGCATATGAAGTCTTTTACCTCTGTCCCCTTACTTTATAGAACCAAGACAAAAATACAAATTACTTACTGATTGGTGACCACACACATCACCGATGGGGGGAAGTGGGGTAAAAGCAGCAATGAAGTGGCAAGCTGAGCCCTACAGTGTTCAGTGGACTTCTGTGGACCCAGTTGGGGACATGGTTGGCAAGCAGTGTGAAGAGGCCTGGGGACTCGTGGGCCGAGAGTCAGTGGCGTGGCCACGGAGGACTTGTAAGGAGAGTGGAGCTACCAGCTGACGGGAAGAGAGGGCAT